TACAGTTACTCTTAGAGTAAATATATTCATAAAAATTTGAAACTTAGACAAAAATTGACAGTTGATTTTTTATAACTTGTTCTTCGAAGGAAGAAAATTACTGATTCAAGTAATTTTGTCACACTCTTATTTTAAATATATTCATAAAAGTTTAACACTTAGTCCAGAGGTCGCCAAAGTGGTCTATATAGACCCCCAGGGGTCTATTTAACAAAAACGGGGGTCGATTTGAGACAGGGGGGCGAATGGGGGTCGATCCGAATCGGAAGGGTCGATTGTGGGTCGAAAAAAGAAACAGTTCTCAATGCGCAAATCANTAAGCAAGTAAATAATATGTTGAATATAGTGTTTAATTTTTCAGCGGTCACAGAGTCATTCCCTTTAACAACGCAATAAAAATAATTTTCAAGGATTAATGCTGATGCAAGAAAAAAATATTCATAAAAATTTAAAACTGGAAAAAAATGTGACACTAACTTTTTTCTTAACTAAAGTTTAATCACCCTTATCAATTGCCTGATATTTTCATGACATTTAATGTGCGCTATGTTCTATTCCAAATGATCACGAATACAGTCTAACAAATTTTAACGTTGAACTAGATCAATATTATTAAGTGAACAAAAATTAAGCTAAATAATCATAACCTGTTTTTCAAAGAAAAAAATTATTCAAGTAATTTTGCCTTACAGTTACTCTTAGTGTAAATATATTCATAAAAATTTGAAACTTAGACAAAAATTGACAGTTAATTTTTTATAACTTGTTTTTCGAAAGAAAAAAATTACTGATTCAAGTAATTTTGTCATACTCTTATTTTAAATATATTCATAGAAGTTTAACACTTAGTCAAAAATTAACAAAACACTTTTTGTAAACAGAAGATAAATCATCCTTACAAATCACCTGATATTTTCATATTTGCGTTATATTATAATCAAAATAATCATGAAATATGTCTAACATGTGTAAATTTTAACGTGAAGCTAGATCACATGTTAAGTGTATAAAAATTAAACTACAAAATTATAACCAGTTTTACAAAGAAAAAAAATTACTAATTCAAGTAATTTTGTCATACAGTTTATTTTAGTATAGATATATATTCATAGAAATTTAAAACTAAAACAAAAATTGACAGTAAATGTTTTGCTAACTGAAGGTTAATCACCCTTTCCAATTACCTGATATTTTCACCAGATATTTTGCGTTATATTCTATTCAAAATATTCACGAATTCTGTATCGAACAAGCATAAATTATAACGTGAAACTAGATCTCATATTAAGTGAACAAAAATTAAGCTTAAAAATTATGACCTATTTTTAGAAGAAAAAAAATTACTGCTTAAATTAACTTTGTCACACAGTTTTTCTTACGTAAATATTCAGGAAAATTTAAAATTGACAGTAAATTTTTTATTAACCAAAAGTAAATCACCTAATATTTAAAGCTAAAAGGAGCTTTTTCCTACATCCACTTTGTATAATATTCTTTTGAAAATAATCACGAATTTTGTCTAACATGCACAAATTTTAAGATGAACCTAGATCAATGCTATTAAATTAAAAATTGAGCTAAAAATTTATATTCGATTTCTCGGTCATAACAAAGTTCTTATAACTTATTATCACAAGAATAATACAGGGTTGCCAACTTCCAACACTTTTTTTAAAAATTTATTCTACCACTCTATATAATATTTATCAAAAAGCGTAGTAGTTGGCTGGCCTGATGATAGTTATAAAAAAATAATTCTAATTTGACGGGACATTTCTACCAATTTTTGTTTTCTCCAAATATGATATTCTAAAGCTGTGGAAAATACGAAATTAAAAATATCAAGTGCAAGCAAAAACATTTTTGTATTTTGCTAAGGCTGCATCGCACAAAATTCATAACATACAATTAGCTGTATTTGTTTCATTTATTTATTTGTAGTGGTAGTAAAAAATTATTTTTAATTAAGTTTATAGATCAATGAATGAAAAAGAAAAACAATCGTTTTACTGTCACTTTAAATATAACAATAAAATCTTCCAGAAAATCCGGGAGAATTGGCAGCTACAAAGGTTGATCAAAGTAATTATTCACATAAAGTTAGTATAAAAACACTTCGATACTATCTCTAAGTAAAACAATTTTTTTTAAGCAACAAATGTCTTGAAAGATTTTAATGCAAAACTTTAGACACAATTTGAGAGATCCTGCTTTAAATTTTTATAAGTGATGTCATTTTCATTCCTTCTTTGATGTCATTTTTAATGACGTCATTAAAAATAAAATTACCATACCTAGAGTCATGTTAACAAAATTTATACTTTCCATGAACTTTTCACTTAAAAAAATTATCAATTACTAAATAAATCAAATGGTTTATTGGAATGATTCACAAAACTCGTTCTAATTTTGGTTGTTAGCTTCTAATGAAAACTTAAAATATACGAATACTTTAGCAAAATTTCAGCAAAATTATTTACTTCTCTTTATCGCTAATTCCACAGCCGCTTTTTTTAAGTGCTTTTTGAATCACTTCAAAGTGTAGCACAAACGCTACTTCAGCGGAAAATGGGTAAAAATGGCAGTTTCATTTCATTTTTAATTGGTTCAATTACGGCAAAGACTCTCACGACAAACGACTAAATTTTTAGATGAATAGGAATAGGGCAGCTAGCCCAGTGAAGAAAAGAATATTAGGATTCGTTATTGAATATAATATCCAAGTATATAAAATGTACAGGGCACGAAATAAAAAAGATATCACCTTAAATAACTTTTGTTCTAATGATCGAATTTTCGCAAACTAAAGGCCAATCTTTATTGTTCCAAAATGTGACCTCAAATATGCTAATTATAATCATTTTTAAATATGCCTCTTTTTCTACGAAGTTGGATTTTGCTTTGCCAGTTAAAATATGGATAAATGGATTGAAATATGGTAGTCACAAATTGGAATAAATGGTCCCGATAGTTTAGATGGAAGAGCAGTCGAAAGTTTTGGGTTCACCTAATTCAAATTTCACTTTCTGCATATTTATCCATACCTCTTGAAGTTTAAAGGGAATCGAAAAACTGTAAGCACCCAATTGAAGACAACTCTATTTAAAAATTTAATTTTAAACAATAACTTTTTGTTATTTTATTTAATAATGGTCGCAAAAATATTTAATTGTAAGGTAACAAATTTTTACACCATTTCAAACAGTGAAATTTTAAATGACAAGATACGGAATTTGAGCAAAATCGATAAGATAGTTTCTGAGAGTAATAAAATTTCAAAAAAGCCATATTTTAAAAATTTTATTTCTCAAGATTTATTCAACCAATTTCTATAGTTTTGTCATTTAAAATTGCGTAAAAAAAATAAAATGAAGTGAAAATTTATAGCACACAAATTTCTTCTAATCCCACAGTCCTCGCGGATTTTGAAAGTGTTTAATAGTGGTAGCAAATTTACGTTATACTCCTAGCATTTTCTAATTTTAAGACAGCATTTTAAAGTGAGAGATCATGCTGAAAAAATTCTCTAAGAGGTATACTTTCCTTAAAAAATAGCATGTAGTTGAAGTCACGAATGCATTAACATATTAATGTTTGTTTCCTTTTTACTACCACTTTTTAAAATTTTTAAAGCATGTGAGAATCCTATTAAAAGTTGAAAACTGCGTATTAATAATTCATAAAAACCCTTACGAAATGTTTTTAAAAAATTCCAATTTAGAGATTCCAATTGTTTCATTTAGGTATTTTTATTATATAAAGCATAAATTAATAAATATTAACCCTATGGCCTATTTCAACAGTGAGACTTGCATTCCTTTATTTTGAACAAATTAAAAGTGGTCGCAAAAATATATTGCTATCAGTCTATTTCAGAAAGAGAAAATGGTTTTTAAATTGGCTGTTTGATATTTAAATATATCAATATCTAATGGGTTAAGTACATGACATCTGTGCATATTGAGCGACAATAAAGAGCTACAAAGTTGAAAAATAAAAAGTAATGGTAAATTTGTGATTATGCGTAGTGAACAGTTTAAATGGTAGCTCCATTTAGCTACCATTTTAGTTTTAAAGTGCTACATTGATTCTTATTACAAATACTGCGTAATAATCGTATTTGTGTTATACTTTTTTATTTTGTAGAAAAACTGATTACAAACGAAGAAACTTTGATATCATTCTTTTTCTAGTGTCACAAAATATTGAGATCAAGCTTCGTGTTTTTTTCGCTGCATTTCTTAATGAAATTCTTTTAATTCCTTAACCATTATCATAAAACAAGTAATAATTATTGGATTATTATTTTTTCAAAAAATAGCCTATTATTAAAATTTCATGAATGTTTTGATTAAAATTTCATTCAAAAGTCAGAATCTCATATGAAATTATTCAAAATTTCAAATAACAATAATTGTTAACTAAGATAAATAGAAAACAAAGAATTTTAAAATCAATGAATTTAAAACTAATCTTACTTGATCTTTTGAAATTTTTTCCTTCGCAATGTTTTAGGAGCATAAAAGGAGCTGCAGAATTTTTATCCAGTTCTTTTAGTAATTGAATGTTTGGGTAATTCACGGGCATTGAATGTTCTAATATAAACTGCGTAATAATCGTATTTATGTTGTACTTTTTTAATTCTTACAAAAACTCATTAGAACGAAGAAACTTTGATATCACTTTTTTTTCTAGTGTCATAAAATGTTGAAAACATGCTTTGTAATTTTTTTCCCCGTTGTATCTCTTCTTCTTATTATTATTTATTTTAAATTTAATTATTTTAGTTCTTTTATTATTATAGAGATGCAATGAAAAAACATTGAGTTATTATTCTTCTAAAAAAAATGCAAATTATTAACATTTCCTGAATGTTTTGATAAAAAATTTGTTCTAAAACCAGAATTGCATACGAAATTATTCAAAATTTCAAAATACAGTAATTATTTGAATAAATAAGTATAAACAAAAAATTTAAAAAACAATAAAATTGTTCTTACTTGATCTTTTGAAATTTCTTCCTTGGCAGGTAATGTTTTAGGAGCAACTTTTGATATAACAGGAGCTACGGACTTTTTATCCGGTTCTTTTGGTATTACTGGGGTTTTTGGTTTTGGTGGTGGTTCTTCTTCAGATGATTCGCTTTCGCTTTCAGTTTCTTCTTCACTACTACTGGATGAGGATACTTTCTTACTGACCACCACTGGTTTTGTTGCTGGTTTAGTATCCGAAGCTCCAAAACTAGGAAATCTAGATAGTACTGGTTTAGGAGCTTCCACAGTCTTGCTATCTGTTGTTTTAGAAGAAACTGCTTCTTTTTCATATTTCACTTTGTTATCGGTGATCTTGGATCCCTCTGATTTATCACTCTTTGATTTTAAGTCTGAAAATTTTGAAGATTTTGTATCAGAAAATTTAGACACACTATCTGTTACTTTAGTATCAGCTGTTGCCGATTCAAATTTTAAAGCTCTACTCCTAATCTCGCTCAATTTAGTATCTCTGAGCTTAACCTCGCCAAATTTAGACTCTGCAGGTTTTTTCTCATTAAACTTTGATTCTAGAGATCGTTTATCTGGAACTTTTGAATCAAGTTTAGTGGCTTCTGCAGTCTGAGTTTCAAACTTTGATCTGAAACTACTACTTCGACCTACAGAGTCGGCCGCTGTAGTTCTAGAAGAGTCGGATTTAGAATCAATTTTGGGTGTTGTTTCAGGAGTCTTTGATTCAAGTTTTGATCTGAAACTACTGGATCGATTCAAAATTTCACTTCCTAATTTATTTGCACCATATTTTGATTCTGTTTTAGTGGCCTCGACTGTTTCAAATTTCGAACGCAAACTAGTAGTCCTAGTCAATAAATCACTTTGAGACGGTTTAGTTGTTTTAGTTTCAGTTTCTTTCTTTTCTGAGGACCTATAATCGAACTTTTTGGGAACATCAACACGATTTTCCGAAGTTTTAGGCGGCAATTCTGGTGGTTTACTATCATCAAGTTTATTGTTTGCTGCCAGTGATAATTTGGTATCTGACGTTCTACTAGGATTATATTTGGAGCTAAATTTTGAGTTAGTTTCATTAGCAGACTTTGAAGATGCATTATTTTCACTTTTAGTCCTATCTGATAATGTATCGCGGTCACTTCGTCTTCTTAACCGAGATTCTGGCAAACGTATCACAGCAACTGCATCCACAGATTTATCATCGTTGGTGTCAGTGCTCCTGTATGTCGCTTTGGAATCATCAGCATTTCTGAAGAGCGAATCAATCTTCTCTTTTTGTTCATCACTGACCTTCTTTTCTTGAAACCAACTGGAAGTAGATGAAGACCTTTGCCTTGTCCGCATGGTATAGCTAGCTGACTGGTCAGTGGTGGGCGGTTCTTCAGCTTTTGGGGTCTCGGTGACCGCCACTGATTCCCTTCGCCTTCGTGGCAAGGGAAGAGTGAAGCTGGTCGTAACCTCTTTGCTGGAGTCGTGGTCGTGGACATCTTTGAAACATCTACGGCATCTATTTGGTTTGACGTGATGAGGAACAAAACCTGGACACACCGTATTCATTTTTGAACACAAAAACAGCTGTTTTAACTACACAAGATATTTTGTTCTATACTAAAAGATAGTTTCACACTAAAATAACGTATACTTTTGGATATTCTAAATGCACTATGAGATGGAAAAATATATATATATTTTTTTACTAAATAAAACCACGTAAAAACAATTTCAAGCGGCTTTAGAAGAAAATATCCTTTCCTCTTTCAAAGTAAGTTGTATGAAAAATAAACTTTTCTTCTTGATTTCGATTGTTGAATATAATAATCCAAAAGATCACTGAGCAGTAATTCCAATAATAAAATATATTATGTCGTAATTTATTTCATCTAAATATAATCAGATAAATTCAATTAAAAAAACTTTCCTAGGATTCAATGAAACACAAATTATTTCATGAAAGCAGAGGGAATCTTTTTTAAGCACAAATAATTAAAAGGCGTTAATTTACAGCAAACATACACAAAATATAAAGGGGCTAATTAGCGGCCCCTAATCGTCATAATTGGGGCCGCTCATTTTCCAACTGCATGAGACGTGAGCCGAACATTCTACAGGCTGCTTTGAGAATCTAAGGGTTGCTTAAAGAAATGTGGGTTCAGTCGCCAAGATGGAGAAAGAGCTAAGGTTTGAACTTTCTCCTGGCGTTATTTTCGCTGAAAATGTATAATCGTTTATAATATAATAACAGAAAAATCTAAACATCTAATTCGTTTAAAACTCTAATTATTTTTAATCAAAACGATTTTTTTATTTGAAGGGAAATAAAGAAAGAAGTACGGCAATTAATTGTTAAAAATAGGTAAATAAAATTTTAAAAACAAATTTTGTTCTTTAAAAATCTTAAATGAAAACGTTAAGTGATTAAAATATTTCCTTCTTTATGAAATAGATAAAATTTTGGTAACTTTCTTTATACTTTTTTTGTAATAGAAAATTTATACTTAATTAAAAATTAAACTATTGAAGTTAGATTCTATGATCTTTCGAAAAATTTGACATCCTCTATGAATAATCAGAGCTCCCTTAGACGAAAAGGCATTCCGTAAGGATTGTATTGGATTTCGCATTTATTTTAAAATTTGAAATATATCTCACTATATAGCAATGGGCTGTAAAGAAAATTAAAATGCACAACAATACTTAAAATTTCAACAAATACTGTGTAAGATTAATATTTCTACAAATACTGCCGAAACAAATAAGAATTAACTTTCAATAATCCACTTATTATATAAAAACATTGTTACTTAAGCACTTAAAGCACTAAATTATTATATAATTTAGAGAATTAATTAAAAATATACACGTTATCAAGTGTTTTATGTCTTCTTTGTAAAACTCAATATTATAATAATAATAATTTTGTGGTTTCAAAAGAAATTATTTAATGTAGCTTTCATTTGACAAATGTGAACTTCGCTTAATAATAAGGCATAATTTCTTTCGTCAAAGTTAGTTTATTTCTTAAAGCTTAACAATTCTAAAATAATTGTTTTATTTTATTTTTGGCATTGGACAGCAAATTCTTTAGACGGGTGTGCAGTCTTTATTCAACTCAACTCAGAAGACAAGAGAGTTTAAGGAATTTAACTCATCCAGCATCACCAGGATTAGATCCCGCGTCATCTTAATCGAAAGTACAAGGTCTTTTCCAAATCATCGCAGGATTTTTCATGGTTGTATCTTTGTTGTGTTTTTATTAACTCGCTTTTACGTATACGACATAGCACTGATGAAATCAAAATCCTGATTACTTTTCGGCTAGCTAGAGTACTGAAATCTTTGTGAGAACTCCTCGTCTGATGACCGTCAAATTTTAATCTTTTTTCTATCGCTGCAAGTTGAAGTCAGTTTCAATTTCTCGATAAACACGATTTGTCATTAATCAAAATTCCTACACTTTCCGACTAACTAGAATGCTCAAACGGCACTCTGTATTTAAGCAACAATTTAAATTCGATGTCAAATTAAATTAAATGGCAAAATACATAATTTGACCGATTTCGCTCGAATTTTGTATTTTGCCATTTAAAACTATTGTTTTCAATGATGTCAAAAAATGAATACTTTACAATTCAAAATTTTTCTACGATTATTAAATAAAATAATGAAAAATAATATATATTTATTAAAATTTATTTTTTGTATAGAATTATCGTCGGAGAAACGAATTTTATAATTGCATGCAAAAAATTTTCAATTCGCTTTAAAGGTTTTAGAGATCTGGCGAAATACGCGAAAAGTAAGACTAACATTAAAGGGACCAAACTTTGGATCGCTCTCCTGACCAAACTATCGGGACCATATTTCCCAGATTGCGATTTGGGGGGGTCAGAAATCCGGATCCTTTGAAAAAAGGTACATTTANGGATAAACGAATTTTATAATTGCATGCAAAAAGTTTTAGCGATCTGGCGAAATACGCGAAACAGTAAGACTAACATTAAAGGGACCAAACTTTGGATCGCTCTCCTGACCAAACTATCGGGACCATATTTCCCAGATTGCGATTTGGGGGGGTCAGAAATCCGGATCCTTTGAAAAAAGGTACATTTATTTTAGAGAAAGTACGTTTTTGTGTTCGATTTCGTAACTTAAAATATCGTCTGCACTGATTAATTAGCATATTTAAATCACTCCCTCGAGCCATTAAGATTGAGTTTTAAAATGTAAAGATCCGAACATTATATCAAAAGTTATTCAAAATGGTCCGTTCTTATTATCTTTTAATTATTATTATTATTATTTTGGCGCTTTGTATATCTTGCTGCCACTTCATCTGTTTATTGACACAAACGCCAGGAAGGAATTTCGTCATGCGATATCGTGTGATCCTGCCAAAAAAAAGCATTTTTCGCCGAATTAACGATTTTATAGCATTTATCGAGGTGGCGAATACTTAACGCGGGCTTTGCGTATTATAGTCAAAAGAAACTTATCGTTAAACGAAATTTCGACTATTTTCCGACTAACTAGAGTGCTCAAATTTCAATTGGAGTTCTGCGTCTGAGGATAATACAAGTACAATTATTTCCTGAGTGTTGCAAACTGAATTTATTGCCATTTTTCGGCCTGAACAAACTACAGACACGAAACTAAAAAGAATAAATTGAAATAAAATAAAAATTGAAAAAATGCGTTTCTCAAATAGACTTGGAATGACAAAATAAATTTATTTTTACTTCACCTGAAACGAAATAAGTAGGGCACAACATTGGCAAAAATTTCATCACCCTCGAAATTCCCATTTCCACGGTGATGCGCCATTTTCCTTTATTACTGTCTAAATATTCTCATGTATTCAGCAGGAAAAAAGGAATGATAAAAAAAAAAGTAACACCATTAAATTTATGTAATAGATTTAAGTAGGTAAATCACAGCATTTAACTCTCGATAAAAACGTTATCAACATCCTTATCATCGATGTGCATGACAGCCCAGTGTGAGCCTTGGTCTTCTTTAAAAGACTTTTCCAAGCTACTCTCTTGCAGGAAACTATTCTCCAGTTCTTTATTTTACTTGAGTCTATTATTTGCAGATAGTCCGCCCATCTCATTCTGTTTAGTCTAATTGATCTTATGATGTCCTCATTCTTATATAACTTAAGAATGTATCTTTTCCTCCGTACAACAGTGTAACAAATTCCACCAGAGCTAGTCCTGAGGACTGTTTCTAATATTGAGAGAGCTTTTTCATCTTTTATTGTAAGGGTTTATATCTTATTGTGTTTTATCCATGTTTTCGAAGCCTGTGTTAAAACTGGTTTTTATAAGTGTTTTGATGAAGTGAGTCCTTAAGAGACTGAGTGAAACTGAAAATCTCATACATGTCTGGCTCATTTTTTAAATACATATTTACCCTAGGTACATTTAACACTTAGGTACATATTAAGGCACATTATTTATTAAGGAATTTAGGTATTAACCCTTTACAACCAGATATGATCACCACGCCCAAGGCGTAAGAAATAGCTTATTTACCTTTGAACTAATTGAGAATTTAACTAATTTAGATAAAATTACGTTAGATAAATCACACATTTCCAAAAATTTTATACCCACTTTCACCTTGAGTCATTTGAAAAAGACAATTCTCCTTTTTTCTTCAAAAAAGAAGAAAGTGGTATCACAAGTATTAGAGGGACCAGAAAGTAATGTCGTTTCAGTCCAATCAAAAAGTCCTCCATGTAGGCTAGTTTGTCCTAATGCTTGATCCAGGAGTTTTCTAGTCTTCTGGGTTAGGTACAAAATTAATAAGCTACGAAGTTGAACATTGATAGATATAAACTCAGAATTGGGTCCGCTGTTCAAAGTCGGTTATAAAATAAAATAAAATAACCCTTAACTAAATTTTGAATACAATTATTGTAAGACAGTGAGTTATTTTTCTCATATTATTGAGATAAATTTCATTACAATGTGGTTATGGTACATAATGTTTCAATTCAGTACCTTTTCTAAATTTCGCCTTCTTATCGTAATTACGATTTTCATTATCGAAAATTAAAACAAAATTTATGATTATAAATACCCGAATATCTCTTAACCATAAAATGTTTGTTTCGTATTATTATTTTTTGTTTTTTTACTTTTTTCGTATACACATTTATTTATTTTATTTATTTATTTATTTTGATAAGTTTAAGGTCGGGCACACTTAAGTCTATGCCCGTCACGTCCCGGATTTAATTGTTTAAATATGTACAGTAGTCCAGTGACTAAATTTTCTTAATATCTGCTCCTGTTTTTAATTGATTAAATATTTACAGTAGTTCGCCAACATACTGATACTAAGCCAAGTATGGCAGAATGATGATTCAGGGTGAGTTTTGTAGGTAAGATTAGATCCCAAAAATACAAACTATGACGTAATATGAATGCCGATCTGAGAGGAAGGGAAAAATTTATTTTGAGAACCTATCCCCTCCGCATCTTCTAACTCCGGAAGCAACCACTGCTACCACAAATACCAGGTGGGTATCGTTAAAATGCCTTTGACCTAGCAGAATGTATCCTAGCCCATAGTACAATAGCTCAACTAATTTACAGTTCAATAGTAAATATTATGACGAAATGAATAACGTTTTCACCTATAACTATTAAATTAAGAGTTAACCGCCAGTAAAATCAAGTAAAATCCACGCCATTAGCGAAATAGCGTTAAATTTTTTATTCGGTTTCCTCCTCGTTTTTTAATGTTAACCTATTAGTATAATAAGTGCAGATATGGTGAAAATGTTTTTGTTCTAGAGCAGGAGTTTCCAACGTACATGAGGCCGGGGGCCGCAATTAAGAACACCAGTCAAATGGCGGGCCGCAACTTTATTAAAATTTTATATAGGATTCTTTTATGTTTGAAGGAACATTAAATATTACTGTCTGATTTTTATCAAGGTGTACAAAACAAAAGTATTGAATTACAAATTAAAATAAGAAGTAGATATTTACCTGAGAAATAAATTTTTTGCACCGTTGGTTTGTTAAATTTCACGGAAACAAAGAAATTAGTATTTTAACCCCTTACAGATTTTTTACGAAAATTGTCAGCAGAAAATGACAACTAATATATTTTAGCTTGCGGGCCTCAAAAAAAGACTTCGAGGGCCAGATGTGGCCCGCGAGCCGCCAGTTGGTAACCACTGTTCTAGAGGTAGGGATTTCCAGTAGACAGAAGCTTAAAAGTGATTATGAATTTACCTGATTTAAAACTTCGCTCACTTCAAAAATATATGAATAGAAAATAACAGTCGAATGTTCATTCACGCCTGGCAAGTCTTGAAAATAGGAGTCTGTTTCTTTTTCGAAACAAACGTTTCTTTATAGAAACAAAAGTGATTTGAAATTTTCTTAAAAGTTTTCAAATCACTTTTATTTCTTCGCATTCATGTCTGGCAAATTTTGAAAATGTGCACCTGTTTTTGAGCACTTGAAGCATATCTACTCTTATTTCCTATTCATATTTTTTTTTTAAGTGGATGAAGCTTTTAATAGGGTAATATCTTACCGTTTCAGTTTCTTGAGATTATTTACTTGTTTACAAATATATTTACAAACTGAAAGAATGCATTCTTTTGTTGATTTTTTTTAAAAATTGAAACCATGATTTTAAATTTAGATATAGTTTTTAAAATTTTTATTTCGTTGTGAAGGGCACTAAAGGCCTATTTCTCTTAAATATAAAAAGTGAAACATTTTTGCAACTATTTTATGCCATTTGTATATATTATATTTAACAACCACCACGTAAACCCATTTTGTTAATCGTACTTTTAAGCACTTGCTCTGGGGAAACGTACCACACACGTCAAGATGCTTTTTTAACAAAATCGCAAGCAACGTGCTGCGCACGCCCCATCAAACACCAAAGCCCCGCAGTCAGTCTTTGTTATTATCTTCGAATATAGTGAGGCCAAAACCGGAAAAAAATTTAAAAAGTGTTGACAAATGTTTCACGAGGCTATTAAAAATTTTATAAGTTTTAATTCTACTCTAAAATAATTTTTTATATTTGAAACCATAATTTTAGATTTACATATAATTTTTTAAATTTTTATTTTGTAGTGAAAGGCACAAAAAGCCTTTTCTCTTAAATATAAAAAGCGAAACATTTTTTTGCAACTGTTTTATACCATCTGTATGCATTATATTTCATAACCAGCACAAAAACCCATTTTGTTAATCACGCTTTTAAACTCCTGCTCCGGAAAGACGACCACGCACGTCAAGATGCCTTTTTAACAAAATCGCCAGCGACGTGCTGCACACGTCGCATCAAACGCTAACGCCACGCAGTCATCTGTTTTTGAAATAATCTTCGAATATAGCGAGGCTACAACAGGGCAAAATTCTAAAAGAGATGCAAATGTTTCACGAGGCTATTGAATTTTAATTCTTCTTTAGAAATTTTGTACGTCAGTTCCAACCTTAAGATATAGTTCCATATATTTATAAAGCCCTTTTGATCAGGCGTAAAATATCGTCAGTAGTAGACGGATCATGGGTTATAATCCCCTTGCCATTGGACTAACCACGGGAGGTTTTCCTCTCTTCGTAACACAAACGCGGGTTATTACCATAATAAGGTCCTCCACAAAGGCTAGTTTGTCCCAATGCTTGATCAAGGAGTTCCCTTGTCTTCTGGATGTAGTTCAAAACTATAAGGCTACGTAGTTGAACATTAGTAGTCGTAAACCCAACAAATTGGGTCGGCTGTTCAACGACAGTTATAAAATAAATGTTAAATAAGACAATCTTATCGATTTCTGAAATTATACCGCTCTATCTGTAACCATTTATGAAAAAATTTTAATTTTTTGGGGATACTAGGACATTATATTAAGCATCAGTTGCTTGTTTTTTTTTTTTTTAAATTTATTTTAAACTATAATTTCCTTTAATTTTAACTGAATATTATTATATATAATTATATACATTATTATCTATATATTTTTTCAATTAACTACTTTTTAGCTTAATTTTATTTTCAAATTTCGTTTTTTTTTTTTCTGGTATATATGTGTGAATTATTATATTATGTGAATTAAAATAATACTCAGCTTACATTTTGTGTGGGTACATTTTAGAACTTCGTCAAGAGCCTATCGAATGACAGAAGTATAAACTGCAAAAGTAGCATTGTACTGATCGAAAAATGTTCAATAATTTCCTAGGTATTTTCTTTTCAGCCATTATAAAATTTAAACAGAAAACATATTTTAATGTTAAATACAATTAAAATAAAAATCCTAAGGGTTTATTTAAAATGAGAAGGAAAAAATACATAAAAAATTTTAAGATGTGTCTTTCCCCCCTTTTTAAAATTTTAGTAAAACACTCTAATTAGGAATAAGAATATTTTAAAAATGTTGGATCATATTTGAATTTTTAAGAATTTCAGTGGTTGAGTAGTTGCAAAAAAGTGGCAAGATAACAGATTTGATTAACTTCACATACATTAGAAGGCATAAAATACATTCAATTGTTATTTATACTCTAATAACTTTTATTCTGAAATGGAGCGTGGTGAATAAAAATAGCATTGTTATCCAGTCTAGAAAATAATTTGATAACCATTTTTTTTTTTATATCTTGCCATACGTTTAACAAATCCGAAACTGATTTTTTTTAAAGTCAGCAGCCCAATTTCGGGCCGTAGTGTAATTCATGGGTTAGATACTGCTAGTTTATATAGTGGTTACTGAAAATAGGATAAACTTAACAAGAAGTTTTAAATTACTAGCGGTTTGTAAAATTTTTGAAATAGTGTTGTCATACTGGGCCAGAAGAGGTTCATTTATAAAAAAAAATCTGATGATAACAATTATATTTCAAAATAGCTCTTTATTCAACAGTTAAAATGTATACAAAATGTAAAAACTAACTATACAGATATTTCAACGTTGGAAAATATAACATTTAAAGTTTGGAATAGCAAAGAAATTGTTTGCCGTTTAATATCCTTCATATCCAGGTAGTGGAAATCGGGAGGCAAAACCTTCTACTGCATCTTTCAAGTTTTTTACTTTTTCTTGGAATTCAGAATTTTCAAGTGTACTCTTGAAATCTTTCAGCAAAGGTCCACTTTTAGATTTGACTTCGAGAGCTAATTGAAAACCTAAAAAGAAAAAAACAATATAATATGTAATATTATTTATTCCTAAGTAATTAATCACTGAAGAAATTAAATTATGATTTTCATTCAGGCTAAACAGTTTAAGAAGATGAAAACCTATAGATCTGAAAGCATCAAAAGTAAACTAACATCTGGAAAAATTATAATAAATTTTTTTTTTTTTAATCAATAAAATGAAACTTAGAAAAAAAGAATTCGTAAAAATACATGGATGTTCTTCAGGTTAAGTGCCACTGCCCCCAAAATGAAATAACCCACATTTTAGTGTTTTTTTAAAAAAAAAAATAACAAAAAAGGAGTTGGTTTGCCAACCTTTTTTTCAGTTATTACTAGTTACTATTATAATTTTATACATTTTTGAATCAGTAGCTGAGTGGTAGCGTTTTGCACTCCCGTGCCACAGGTCCTGGGTTCGATCCTCGGGCCGAGCAAGGTTGGCTCAGCCTTTCATCCCCTCAGTGGGTGGATAAATAAGTACCTAGCATGCTTGCGAAAACTAAACACTGGGGGTTCCATGTTTGGCTGACAACCTAACCGGACCATCTGCTGCTGCACCCCAAAGCCCAAGGTCAAGAAAACTGAGATGGACACAGTAGGCTTTGGCCCTCTATGGGCTGTCGCGCCACTGAGTTTAGTTAGTTTAGTACATTTTTGAATATTTTTCTCAAATTATTCTATCATGTTGAAGTAAACGATCTTCATTGCATTCCAATAATTAGGCCAAAAATTTTTTAATACATTTTTAAAATTTTCACTTGAGTTTGTTGAACAGCTACCTGAACCATTAAATGGGCAATTTTTTTGTATGCCCACATGAGTGGGCTAACATAACACTCCCCCATTTAAAGAAAGTAAAATGTTCCAACACACTTTTGTGACATAATGAGTGTGGGTACACACTTGGATATTTTATTCTGAAACACAGAACTGGAATAAGTCATTCAGCATTTTTCTTAGAAACCCAATACTCTGCCTTTTTCCTCCAGAAATCCTTTTTCTGTTGAATCCAGCCGCATTAGCAAAAAAATGGAAAGGACTAAGTTGATTACGTCTCCTTTCAATAATTTTTTTCATGTGGACTTAAATTCACATCTTATAAATCCATCCAATACTCAACTGCATCAGATAGATTTGATGTTTCAGATAGAATTTGCAAAAATACATTTTCAATTGCTGCAAGCTGTTTCTTCATGTTTCTTCATGTTCTTCTTTAAAGATCATTGCATTTCCCAAAATGCGGTTTATGCTGGCAGGGATATCATTTGAATATTTTACCTGAATTTCAATGTAGAGGTGATAGTTTTTAATGAATGACAAAATACAATTGGACTGAGAGTTCTACCTAACTTCACTAGCTAGTTGAAGCATGACACTCTTTTTCTTCTTCTTTTAACCAGCTATATGGTATTTGGTGATTTTTAAAATATTTGAGAATTTCAGCTATGTGCTTCATAACGTATTTTTTGTTTATTTCCTCTGCAAGAAGATTTAGGTAGTGGAAGGAGCATCCATAGAATAGTAGGTCTTTATTTTCGTCTTGCAATGACTCGCTTTTATAATTTTGTTTTCGTTATCCGCGCCTATTGCAAAAATATTTATTCTAAAATTCTCATAACAATACTGTGATGTCTGGTGGCGCCATCCTCAATCAAAATCAAAAGGAGAAAAAAGAGAGAGAAGATAGGGTTCAGATGGAGAGTGGAGGTGCTGAAAACGTATGTTAGTAGTTTTGTTCTGGTGGCTTAATTATGTTAACTTTTCTTCAAAATTCATTTACAATAGTTAATAAATGTCTTTATGTTGTAAACTGATCGATTGCTATTTTTTTTGGAAGAGTTATATTTCTTGGGAAGCATAAGAGTGAAGGAAAGAAGGTAAAATATACATAACATCACAAATACTCTACTGATTCAATGGCAAGATTGGCACAATATTCTGCTGATTTTGTGTTAGCTGCACTACTTCCAGAGCATTGAGGAAAAATGATTTTTCTCCAGAATTGACACATGATGCCATAAATGGTTCAGTTTTTACATTACTCCAAATATCAATAAATAGTGTAGCAAATGATCCACTTTCAGATGTTTGTTCTTTTAAAACTTGATCACCTTCTAACGATGCAGCATCTCAAATTCCCCCCCCCCTAAATCGATTGGGGCCAAAATAACCAGGTCTAAGAACTTGTAACATTTCTTTATACTCTTTAGTGCTTGCTGCATTAAATGCAATGTTATTGGCATAAAAAATCTAGCTATTTTCATATCTAAGATTGACTTTTGACTGTCTGTTGCATTTACTGCAAATTCTGATATCACTCTTTGCCGCATAAAACTTGGTTCAGAGCTGTGTGCTATTATCTTCAATAGCTTCCAATGAATTGCTTATTCTAAAAATAATCATTAATAATCTTTACATAAGAAAAATACTTTTTCTTTCATATTTTGTTTCTATTCATATATAGTTTTTAAATAAAATATTTAAGAAACAATAGTCACATAAAAGATAAATTTTTCAGAAGCAATTTTTGCTAATTATTATTCAGGTGAAAAAAAATACCTTTATGCAAAAATTCAGCCACTTTGTCCATGTCGCTTTCTTTTAGACCTCTAGTTGAAAGAGCTGGAGTACCAAGACGAATTCCACCAGGGTTGAGTGCACTTTTATCACCAGGCACAGTATTCTTATTGCATGCAATAGATATATCCTCGAGTACTTTTTCCGCTCTAGATCCATTTAATCCAATAGGCCTCAAATCGACCCACACAATGTGATTATCAGTTCCACCTGTTAAAATTTAAAATAAATTTACAAAAAAATACCAAATGATTGAAACATTCACATAAGTAGAGCAGAGAAGCTAACTTTAACTAACTATAACAAATCATAAGTACTAAAATACTACATTCAACAGACAAAATTCAAATAAGTACAATTTTGAGGTATTTTTACTACTTTTCTATATAGTTATGTACCTAATATTAATCATATTATACAAAAATTTACTATTAAATAATGAAAAAGTAACATTTAAGTGTTACTTTATTTGGAATATTCGCTGCAAACGAGTAACTCTTGGCAATAAAAGAAGAAAAAAAAACTTATTCAAGAAATTATCAAGAAAATTCTCGAAAACCAAATTTTTACTCAACAGTAAGACCATAATTTTGACTGTGAAATCACAATAATTACGGAAAAATTGTAATAGTTGACAGCTCTGGTAGAGCAAGAAGAAAAAACTATAGCTTTTGAATAAGAGAAAAAAAATTTCAAAATTAAACAAGATGGATATGTTTACTCCTATAATTTTATTCCAAATAAATAGCAGGAAATATTTATGCACATCATTTCTGCTCAATTTCAAAAATATATGTACATTCATGTGTAGTTTATAATAATTATTGATTCAATTCATTTAAGGAAAAAAGAAATTAAAGGCAAGATTTTTACAGAAAAACTATTTTCAAATTAATGCACAATACTGCTTATTCTGATTTCTAATATTATGTACTGAAAACTGAAATTTTAATCATTTAAAATAAATCTGCTTAATTTCAAATTTAGTGAGTTTTTAATTTGAGAAAAACAATGTAAATATCTTAGAAAATAACGTGTTTATGATTAAAAGGCATTTTAAAGAAAATTTTAAAAAAAAAGAAAACACATCCTAAACTTAATTTTGCAAATACAAGCAAGAGAATAAAATGCAAAAACAAAATTGAAATTAAATTCAGCAAATTAACATACCAGTTACAACAGTGTAACCTCTGGATTGCAAGCCTTTTGCAAGGCATTTAGAATTAGCCAATACCTGACTTTGATACTCGTAGAAGGCTTTAGTTTGTGCTTGTTTTAAAGCAGTAGCAATGCCTAGACAAAACAATTTCAAGTTAGCATCTTAATCATAAAATATAATGTATAGGGATATAACGAATATTTGGCCCTTTTGCTGAATATTCGGCAAAGTATTATTTGGACAATTCTTTTTTTGTTTACAAAATTTAAAGAAAATTTTAATAGATATAATAAAGAATAACCTAAAATCATACTTTTTACTAAACATTATTAGATTTAGTTTTTACACATATTTGTTAAGTTCTAAAACTTGTTAATTTATGTTCTGAAAGAAACATAGAAAGGCGAAATTTGAATAATTGAAACTGGATTACTATATATTGAACCATGAGTTTTGTAATGTTATTTTTTTCTTTATTTTAATTATATTCAGGCAAGTCAATTTCCTCATTTTTTTTTTCAATACTTTACGTTTAAAAATTGAGACCTTTTCTTTGTTTCATTTTAGCTTGTTTTTATGTTTTAATTAAAGTGAAGCATATTGAAGGAGCATTTCTAGTAGACTAAATTCTTTTATTGTCTCTTTTTTCTTGTACAGTAAGACAGATAACTAGCAACATAGAAAACTGAGATTCTCAACGCTAAAGTTATATTTCAAAACTTAGAACAATTTTTCTATCCCTCTTTTGATTTCTTTATTAATATTTCTCAACAGCATTTTCATTATGACAGCATTCTTTAAAGAGGGTTTCTAATGAACACTTTCTTTAATGGACACTTTTTTCTAAAAATACATTAATGTGAAAAACTAAATTAAGATTTTAAAGCTAAATTTTTCGTTTAAAAATTAAGACCGATTTTTGTTTTGGTTTTGATCTAGTTTTTCCTCTTTCAAAAATCTTATGTTTTTATTATGATGCGGCAATTAAGAGGGTTTCTATTCTATTTTAGTCTTCACCTTTTCTTGAAAATACAGTGATTGGAAATAGAAATGTTTAGCTTTAAAACTTTCTTTCAAAAATTAAGATTCTTATTTTTTGCTTGCTTTGCTTTTGTATATCATCTTTGTTTTTTATAGGCTTTTTTATGATAGTGCTGCATTTTTAAAAGCATTTCAGATAGACACTATCTCTTTTAATGTTTTATGGATAGTTTTTTAGTGGAAAATATTATTTTTAGCATTAAAGTTTAGTTTTATGACGATATTTTTTTCTATATCTTTTTTCCCCAACTTAACAGCTTAAGTTTTTTCGTTTTTAATAGCTGTTAGTTTTTTTTATCTTAAATATTTCTAATTATCTTAACATCTAATTATCTTCATTACCTTAAATATTTCTATTACAGTTTTTTTTTTCGAACCCACACCAATACAGCTCAGATTTGATTATTTTTCAATAATTGCAAAACTTATTTCTATGTAAAAATATTTATTAATGTTTGTTTTTTTTAAATATTTGGCAGCCAAATATTTGGTATTCAGTCGATTTTTCAGCCGAATATTCAACATTCGGCCAAATCACTATTCATTACATCCCTAATAATGTACCAATTAAAGAAATTGAAATTACATAAGAAAGTAAAAACTAGGAAAGTATATCATTTAATTCTATTATTGCAAAAACAGATATATTAAAAAAAATCATCACAGAATAAATTTAATTTTATCAAATGCAGGCAAATTAGCCAGAGATAGTATGATTTTTTAATGTATTACAAAAATAAAAAAAAGTTTTGTAGAAAATTAATTAAAAAACTACTAAATTCTAACCTGAAATAGAATTGTTGTGTGGACCTCCTTGAAGACCCGGAAACACTGCTTGATTAATTTTATCTTCAAGATCATATTTTTCTTCACCGGCCTTAGTAACTTTACGAACTCCTGGAAGAAACGAACAAATAATTTGAAAAAAGTTAATAAAATTAGTACAGAAATTATTTTAAAAAATAATAAATCACATATCTTGCATTAATTTTAATACAATATTAGTTTCCTAAAAAGATAAGATTATTCCCATTTTAGATAAAACTAAGTTTATGTTAGAAAAATTAAATAAATTATTAACAAATAGATGCAATAAAAAAGTAGTAACTTTTAATATTTAAACAATTATATCAATAAACATAAGACATAACTGTTCAGGCTTCGTTAGTGGTCTAAACAAAAACTCATGACAACATTCTTCAAAAAAAAAAAAAAATATAAAACANAAAAAAAAAAAAAAAATATCAAAAACATGTTTTGGAACGCTAGACATATACCATACTTTTAAAAAGGGTTAACTAAAAAAAAGTATAATTTACTCTACTTAAAAATATAAAATTTAATAAGAAAATAAAATTTAATCGCACAAGAACAATAAAACATACTATACCGAGCATTACATTAATAAAACATTTTATCAATACCGAGACTCATAATTGTTAAAATCATACGTGGAAAATTTTTACAGTAATACTGCATTAAAAAAATAACCAGTATCAATTAAATAAATTATCTCAAGAAACTGAAGCGGTAAGATATTACTGATTGAAAAATTCGTTCGCTTCAAAAATATAAGAATCGAAAATAACAGTAGACATGTTTCAAGTGCTCAAAAAGAGGCACCCATTTTCAAGACTTGAAAGACAAGAAAGAGAAAAAGCAAAAGTGATTTAAATAAAACTTGGAGTTGCTAACTAAAAACTAAAATCTAAATCTATATTATTATATTTATTTCTCACTTTTATTTTTCCATTTTTTGTTGGCAGCTTTACGTTTTTCTTTTGAATTCCTTTTGTTTCTTATTTGCGCCTGGAAAATATTGAAAATAGGTGTCTGTTTTCAGCGCTTGAAACATGTCACGTGATATTTTTGAGTAGTATACTTTTGAAGCAAATAAAGTTTTCAATCAGCAGTATAAATTAATTAATATTCCCTTATACCAATATGAAATTAAAAAATTTTAATAGAGTTCAAATAAATAAATAATTGTTTTGGGTTGTTTTTATACAGAAAATAAATTACCAAATGAAATCATCTTTGCTTACAAAATAAAATTACTAAAAATAAAAGTTCAAGAAATTTAAAAAAATTTTAAAAACTGTATTTTTTTAAAAATATATATATATATTTTTGCTTGGGATTAATGCTTTTACAAGTCAGTCAATGAATATTAATATATGTGATGAAAAATATATATATTCGAGGGAGATAAAAATGTTGTGTCGAGAAAGGAAAATCGATACAAAACAAAGACATGGGTTGGTGTGTTGGGATGAGCAGCTAGCAAAATAGTAACAATATTTCATTCAAATTAATTAATTTCTCTCAAAAAGTATTACTTAAAGAGAAGTTTGTTTTTTTTTTGCCAATTATTTGTTTCAAAATTGAGTTTAAAAATTCCAAAAAAAAAAGGTTAGGAGGCGAATGCTAATATGCCACAGATAATAGTAGAATAAAAGATATAAAATGGAATATATTTTACAATACAGTAAAATTTATGTTTCAAGATGAGAAACAAATATGAAAACAAAGAAATCATGGGGTTTAGCAAACAATGTATGATGAATAATTTAATTTTAAATCATAGATCATAACAAATTCAGTAGGAGGTAGATACTTTATTTACGTCACTCAAGAGCTGCACAGTGGCAACGTCCTGGAAAACACCCCTGAGGATGACCCAAAGGCATGCCGTATTGCCATTACAATTTTGATCTCAGCTGCTGGTTCCTCCATTTTGGAGCTTGATAACTTGGGTGTGAAGTTAGGCGCTTTACGGAAGAACACACTGACTTGATATACTTGATTGTGTCGACCTATCCAGGGCGGACTTAACTTCCGATCCCCTTCTTGTCATCGACTTTCTGGCTGTTGACAACAGTTTGAAGTTCATCTGATTAATGTCAGATCTATGAGGATAAGCAACAACACACTGACTGCTGTCAGTGATGTCTGACTTTGGCGCTTTATTGAGAACCGTGTCTTTATGATCAGTCCATAGTGGGATAATTCAGCGGGAGGATAAATTATCATACGTTTACAAGGTATGATTTGAATTCATACATTCCAATAAAATAAAAATATTTCTTTTAAAAAAAAGACAAAATTTAATTTAAAAAATATACCTTTTCTATAGAATATTAAACCGGCTCTAGGTCCTCGAAGAGTTTTGTGAGTAGTTGATGTAACAATATCACAGTATTCAAAAGGACTAGGTGCTAATTTTGCAGCAACTAAACCACTAACATGAGCCATATCTCCCATAAGATAAGCATTATTAATATCTGCTATTTCTCTGAAGCGTTTGTAATTCAAATCTCTTGGATAGCAACTAATACCTACAGAAAATAAAATATACTTAGTACAAAAATAATTTATAATATTCTTATAAAATGATATTAATACTAAAATTGAGTAGTCATAAATGTATGCGAGAAAGATGTTTATAATCAAATCGTAGTATTGTATAGATTAAGGTGAAAAGTCAAGCTAGATTTAAGTGAAAATGAGAAATTATGCCATTTTAGGTTATTTAGAATCCATTACCTAATACATATTTGAATAGCTACCAACCTCTAGTTATAAAAATGCAGAAGATAGACAAAAAAAATGCAGAAGAAATGCCTAAAAATGCAGAAGATTCGCAAGCACATACTAATTACCAATAAATTTATAAATGAAGCGGATTTTAATTATTTTATTATAAATCCACTTAATATGAGCATAAAAAAAGCAATACTCATCTTTTTTTAAAACAAAAAAGGAAACATCTTTCAAAAATTTTTTTGACCAGCTACTTGATGGTACAATATTCATTTATTAATTTTTGATTAAAAATGTAGTTACGGCCCTGCCAAAGGCTGTTACAAGAGGAACAGCGACGTCTGACTTAAAGAAAATACTAGCTATCAGGCGGATGGGTAAAATGCAGAAGATCTTCTCTTCTGCGCATAAAAGTGGAAAAAATAGCTAAAATAAGTAAAAATGCAGAAAGCTTCTGCAAAATGCAGAAGGGTTGGCAGCTATGTATTTGCTATATATATTTTAAGTTTTATTACAAATGCTTGAATTTATTTAATTGAATTTTAAGAGATACATATACTTCCTTTAAAAGTTGCATAATTTCTTCAGTAGAAATAAAACAAATAAACAGTATCACAAATAATACAGATGTAAAAAGAGATGTTTTCTCGTGACACAATTTTGGTAGATTTAATTGAAATTTTCAATAGACGTGTCAACTCTGTCTACCTAATGAAAATCTAAAAAATTTTTATTTTCTTCTACTTATCAATACATTTTATATTCATTTAACTAATTATGCTTTACCATTCATAGCAAATCATAATAATCAGCAACTGCTACGGAATTTCCACTATTTCAAAAATATTGTTCCCCAATGGTGCCAAAACAGTGACCTAATGTCTTAATAAATTAGGTTTTTAAAAAAAATTTATCTTCCACTAGTTATAAATAGTTTAAACAGACATATTAAAGGTCAGATCAAATTGACATATTCTTTATGGACATGTTTTATAAAAGTTCTATTTGTTTTAAGAACTTCAGCTTTGGTTCACTAATACTGGAAAAAATTATTTACAAACGTTTGAGAGTATGATGATAGTTAACCATGCTTTACATTAAATGATAAAACATAATGGCAAGTTCTAAAAACTTAACCAAAACATGATACCAACACTTTCTTCTTTTAACATTCATACAGAACATACAAATAATTCTGAGAGGACATCATAAATAAAAACTCTGTATTCTTTGGTTTTTACACAAGTAATTTTCTCTATTATACACTTGTTAATTAAATAATTTGCTTTATCATTCATAACGAAAATCAATTGAATATTTAACATGAAATAGACCTCCATCCTCCATGTCCAGGTAAATGAAACCTTAATAAAATGAATTTTGAAACTTCTACTGGTTAGAAATTAATTACTTAATTTTGCAAGATTTTTACTTTCTAATGTTGTTTACTTATCATATAACATTCAAAACCGATTTTGCAAAAAAAAAAATAAAGCTCAAAATGCAACTCTTCATCCGTGCCATCCAGAGAGTAATAGAAAACTTGTGAGAATCTTTCAAAATTACATTAAAACAATATTTTTCATAAATTAAAATAAAAATAGAATTTTTTATTATAGTTCCGCTGATAATCTACTCACTCTGCACATTTAAAAAGGTAGAAATTATTTTATTACTGCAAAAAAAAAAAAAATTATGCTATGCATTATTTTAAAAATATAAAAATACTCGTAAACTAAATAAAAATCATAAATATACTCAATTTTATTTGAGAAATCTTTAAAGTAAGTTGGGCTTATCAATTCAATATCTTATAAATAAAATTAAACTTTGATACATGAAATATTTCAAAACATAACATATCCAGCCAATTACTATTTAAATTTTCACTAGATCATAATTTTAACAAAAAGAAACAACTTTCTAACACTAAGATTAAAATCATAGGAAATTTTTACCAGCAATTATCAACTTCGGCTTGAACAGCTTAACTAATTCTTCTAATTGATCATAATTAATAAGACCAGTTGATGGATCCAGTTTATAAGGCATAGATTCAAAAAACATAGAAGTAGCAGAAATCTTTTTCTTCTCAGTAAAATATCCATGAGTTAAGTGACCACCATCAGGTAGGTCTAACCCCATGATTCGACCATGTGGTTCAACAACTGCAGTATAAACAGCAAAATTAGCTGGAGATCCAGAATAAGGTTGAACATTGACACCCCATTCTTCTGGATTAAGGCCATATGTCTGCAAAGCTCTTTGTTGGCATAGTCTCTCAACTTCATCAATGAATTCATTGCCTCCATAATACCTAAGGTTGTAATTGTAAAATATCTCAGTATTCAATCATTTTAAAATATTATTACATCTATTTTGAAGCTGGAAAAATTAACAAAAATAGTTATTATTTGCACAAATTATTCTGAATTTAATTCAAATGAAGATTAAAGTACTTATTACTAATCAAATAGAAAAAAATATATAACAATTAGACAACTTAAGGATTGCAATACATAAAGAAGTTCTTTTACTTTGTTTCCCCACTTTTTCCCTTTTCTATTCAATGAGTAAAATACATTTCAATCCAAACTTGTCCAAATGCAAAAAACTCAGTTGGTTAAGAATGAAGGAAAAACAATCACTAATATGAAAAAAGTTTGATACCGAACAAAACAATGCCTTCCAACATACACATTTTACAAAAATGTATAAATATAGCTGAAACAGCTGGCTAACTAAGCTGAAAAAATAATGAAACAAAAAGTCTGATGATTTTTTTTCCAGGGTGCGGAGCCAAATTATTCAAAAAAATAAGTACCTTTTAAGCACTTTTCAAGCAGTCAAAAAATATTTTTAAGCACTTTAAAAAAATATAATTATGCAGGGTTGGAAAGCGTTTGACAATTGACGGTTTTATCTTGTTTAAACCGTCATGTCAAAAAAAAAAAACTTTTGCCATTGTTTTTGACAATTGTCAAAAATCATAAAATTTTGAATTGTGTGTGAAGAATGGCGTTTTCATACGATACGGGCTGAAAAAAAGCTAAAATAGATTGGGGTTGAATTAATTATGAAATCGTTGAATAGAACAACATGATTTTTTTTTTTTGCGTAATTCATAGCGAAAATGAACAAGGTAAAGGTAACCCAATGAAAAAAGCACCTTTAGGGGCTCTTAAAAAAAGAAAATCGAAAATAAGCACCTTGAAGCACTTTTTAAAAGCGCTAAGCACCCTATTTCCCTATAAATAAAAATTACTATCTTTGGAAAAAAACAGGAAACAATTTTATATGATGGCTTTATGTTATTAAATGATTTTTTAAACAATTATTTTATAATACAAAATATAATATTCTTTAAAAGAAATCTGACAAAAGATTTCTTACACTTAAAAAAAAATTAAAATTTTCAAACCCAACCAAATCATTTTTAATATCAACTTGTAGTGTGATATAAAGAAACTAAAAACAAAATAGACAAAAACCCTCATCTCATCAGCGACATTCATCATCGCTTTAAAATTAAATATGATTGTTGAGGAAGGAAAAATAGTTCATTTTTATCAACATTGTCAATAAAACAGTTTTAAACATTAATGTCAATATCCACTCGGTAAAAACTTACAATATTAATTGTTTTATTCAATATAGTCTATTATTTTAATTTAAACACATGTTAACATTTCAGTCCTTACTTCAGTAAACTTGATCTAAATTTTAACAACAAAAAAGCATGTTCTTATTTTATACAAAAACAAAAAGTGCCCAGTAAACCAGCTAATAAAATAAACAAGGAAACCTTAAACAAGCAAAAATAAAATATTTAAAAAAAAATTTTACCAAGACTCAACATAATTTAAATGAATCTTTACTAGAGTCAAAATTAAAGACAACTATGAGCATGCAATATGATAACATGAATATTGAGTATAAACTTAATAATACTAAATAATAATTATTTAAAATAATACTAAAAAGGTTTTCAACAAAATTAATATTTGTAACTGAGTCAATTATCCTTTTTTGAAATTTTTTCTTCCTTTTAAACTAGTAAACTTATGATTTGAAAAAGCTTAAGATTATTTAAATATAAACCAAACTTTTTTGAAAAGTGATATTTTATATACAAATTGTGCATGGTTTCTAGATAGATATCTTACAAGTTTCTAGAATTTTCTTTAGAGGGCAGTACAACATACAAAAGTATCTATGTTGTCTATATGTAAAGCACAGAGTTTTTCACCTATTACACTTTTAAAAAATCCTCTCCTGAACAATTTAAAAATGGGGCTTATCTTGTTTTTTATATATTTATTAATAGATGCAAGAAAAAAATTTCATTTAAAAAATAAAGCACAGACATTAATCATAAAAATATACAAACTTTATATTTTAGAATAAATTAAAATACCTCTGTCCTGGATAACCTTCTGAGTATTTATTGTGTAAACAGCTACTCAAACATTGAAGAACACTTCGACTAGTGAAATTTTCAGAAGCAATCATTTCAAGACCTCTAGATTGACGTTCTTTCTCTTTTTTCAACAACTTTAATAAATCTGGATCACTTTCATCCAGAGTTTGATTCAAAATTGGATCCATGATTTGACAAAACTATAATGATATATTACAATAAAATCAGATTTTTTTCTTTTTTTTTTAAAAAAAGATTTTTAAGTAAATAAAATTTTTAATATATAAAAGCAATATATTGACAGTAATTTTAACATCATAACAAAGCAAATATTAACAGTAGGTTTAACATAGTGTTTCCCAAAGTGTGGTATGCGTACCCCCAGGGGTACGGGGACAGTTTAGAGGGGGTACACGTTCTTATGCGAAATATATTGCAACAAACGAAAATTTCACAAAACTTTATTAAAAAACAAAGCTAGCCATGAAATTTACGATTACGTATTTTTCTATTAACTATTTCTTGCAGAGTTAACATTTAATAATAAGGGGTATCAACAGCCAGTTGTGATTTTTAACTTTTGAGCAATTTTTTATAGTAAAATAGTAGAATAGTAGAAAGGGTACACAGAAGACATAAGTTTGGGAAACACTGGTTTAACAAATGGCATATATTAACAGTCGGTTTAACATAATAAAGATAGAGGAAATATAAATAGCAAGTTTGACATCATAATGTTACTAAGATTAAAATAAGAAAAATGAACAAGAATCTAACTCTTAATGCCACAAACTAAGTGGCACTTAAAATTAGAGTGGTCTTAAAATTAGAAAACAAAACTATTTTACAAACACAAATTTTATATTATCATATAGGATTTATTACTAAATTATGAAAAATTGACAAATGTTAATTTTTGACACCAACTAATTTTTTTAACTTCCAAAATATTTTAAGTAATAAAAATGAATCTAGATATTAAAATGAAACATTTTTAACTATTAATGTTTAAAAATAAATCTAATTTTAATATTTAAAAAAAAACTAACCTGAAACTAGATTTAAAATTGGAAAAAATAAATTAGCACTGTACCCAGATGCAAAATATGGTTTAATAGAAAATATCTCCTGATTCTTTTGCACACCTCAAAAAAATTATATCAAAGTTAAATTTATCTTATCTTACAGATGCGTAGAGTTCTTATAAAGATAGTTTTAAGATAGAGCAACCAAATCAATAAGTTAGAATTTTTTTTTCTTCCCTTTTTTATCAGTAGAATGTGGAAAGAAGAAGGAAGATTAAGCAAGCAACTTAAGTAGATAAGATAACATACTTAATTTGATTTGAATTGACGTAAATTCAAGGCTGTCGCAATAAAAAATATACATCATCATAATTGAATTTCTCTTTTAGTAAAGTATTTTAAAGTACTCAAATTAAAATGGAGAGTAGAAAAAATATGTTTTATTAAAATTTTAATCTAAGTTTATGGTTCGAATGACCAGTTCAATACATAATATAAGAAATAATAAATTATTATCTCAATGCAGAATAAATACAATATAAATAACAAAAACCTAAACTTTAATAAGCCAGGTACAAACTAAAAACTTGTTCAAATTTCTCTTTTTCTCCATTGAATAACTGAAATGTAATTTTCTTCATAGCTTGAAAATGTAATAAACTTTAAGGTTTGCATTGTAGTGCAATATACTTGCTCATTACAATTCCAAACAAAAGCAAACTCAGCTATTTCAGGAAAAGATTATTTGTATAGTGACGATCCCCCCTTTTTTTTTCTTTATCCCTGCTGAGAAGTGATGGCTAAATATTAAATTTCACTCTGTTTAAAATCTTAATCAACAGCAAATGTATGAAGGAAACAATAGGCATTTTGTTTCAATATGATTTTTTACTGATACTATGCATATTTCGTAGCATTAAATTCAATAAAATAACAATGCATAAAAAATTATCGTATTTGATACTAAGAAACAATTTAATACATATTAGTAATTAAAAAAGTAATTATTTATATTTAAAATTCATTTATTACTTTAAAATTAAACGAAGAGGTAAGAGATAAGACTATCGGATAACACGTGATGTAACTATTTCATAACTTCAAAACAAATCCGCGCCTCTATAAATTTCAAAATAAAGTGAAACTGCCAGATGCATCACTAGTTATGATTTTAATTTCGACAGTTAAATTTTGGCAGAATTTAATTTTTTTAAATTCCGCATTAATAGGTATGACCAGAGATGGTATAACTATTTGATGTTACAAAAACCTATGGTTTTAATTTAGCTTCAATCAAGACTTTAAACCAAAATCTTATTTCTTTATTAGTCATGTTCCAGCCATTCCTTGTAACCGTCATTTACAATATGAAAAAATAAACGGAACGTTCTAAATTCATTGATTTGAATCAAAAGTATTCTAGTTCGATGAACAGTTGATTTTAAGCAACATAATTTATTGAAACTGATGAAACCGAATGAACAGAATTAGAAGGTTGCAATCGAAATGTTCGGATTTCTGCTATTATTTTGTAAATAAAATTAAACACCGCCTTGCCTTTAATTTTGTATTATCATTTTGTGAAATAAAATTGTAACTTTTCTTTTCGATTTATTATTTTTACTAATATCTTATTACAATAACTATAGAATGGTAAGTTTTATTTTTATTTTATGTAAATATGATTGCTTGTAATACTTGCATAGAAGTTAACTCAAAACTAAATTAAAATTTTATCTATTTTAATTGAGAATAAAAATTCTCAAAATCTTTTTTATGCTTCTACAAAAACAGGAAAAATGACTTAAAACTGAGGTTTTAAAATGTGAAGAAATCAAGCTTATAGTAATAGAAAACTGGGAGATTTTATAAACAGTAAAAGCTGTAATGTACAGTGCCCAATCCAAAGGAGTACCCTTGTCATGCTACATTGTTACCATAAAAAGGTATGAAACCTATCAGGAAAAGATACCACCTGGTTGTTTGTTACACTTTTTCTTCAAAGAAATCAAGCAATTAGTTATTTAATTTTATTGCCTGCTTTTTTAAAGTTGAGGCAAGGAGGTGATCACTGATTTCTTCAACAAAAACTGACTACACAGTCCTCTCTTTTTTGTAATTAGAAGATTTTTTCAAAAGATTTAGTTTTTAATGTAGAAGATGATTCTGAGTAGATTAAATTTACAGTCAAACCCTTTATCTAAAAATTTGTAACAAAATAGATTTTTCATAATTAAAATAATTAACCATTTGTTAGTTAAACTTGAATAATATGAATGAATAATCCCTAGAAACTGACGCAATTTTTGAAGTATTTGTTAGTTGTTAATTCAGGATGTTTCAAAAATAATGACAGCAAAATATTTTTTTAATAAAAGGAAATATTTCTATATCACTTAAAAAAATATGTAGATGTTTATCTCAAGAGTGGCTATGAATGAGTTGGTTTCCTGTGATTTATTTTTATTTAGTTTTTTGTGTTCTGCTGCCCCGGAAGTTGAAAAGTTTAGTGATTATCCTGTTGTAGATCAGGATATGTATCTTCCCAAATAAATCTCATAATGGTTGCCATATTTTTGGTGGAGCCTGTTAGGGGCATGGAAGAAACTAAAAGAAATTCACTGAAAGGATACTAGAAGGTTATAACTTGTAGCCTCTGTAACATTTATATTATTTTTTAATGTATTGTAACGTCTATGACATGGTTGGTGATATGAGTTCTGATCAATATCACAGACATACTGTGCGTCCAAAGAAGCAGACCACCCTGAATAACTTTTGATCTAATGATTGGATCTTCACATTCTAGGACTCAATCCTAATGGTTTGAAAGGGTGACCTCAAATAAGCTAATTATTAAACACAGAAGATATTTTAAGTTACAAAATCTGACACAAAAACGTACTTTCTCTGAATAAATATATGTTTTTATTTTTAATGTATTCCGATTTTTGAACCCCAAATACGCAATCTGGGAAATGTCACAATAGGTCAGGAGAGTGCTTCAAAGTTTGGACCCCTTAATATTAATGTGACTTTTTGTGTATTTAGCAATATTTTAAAACTTTTTAAGCGAATTGAAAAAATTTTGCACACAATTATAAAATTAGTTTATCCAATGATAATTCCATGCAAAAAATAAGCTTTAGTAAATAATTATTATTATTTATAACTACAAGTATATTCAATAATAGTTCAAAAAATTTTTGAATTGTAAGTATAGAATGTTTTGCATAATTTTAAAAAATATAATTTTACTTGGCAACATGCAACATTTGAGCTATATTGGTTGAATAGTTCCTGAGAAATTGAATTTTAAACATCTGTTTTGTTTTGTTTTTTTTTTTTTTAAATAAAAAATACAATTTTTCAGAAGCTATTCAACTGATTTTGCTCAAATTTTGTATTTTGTCATGCAAAATTATGTTCTTTAAAATGATGCAAAATACTGTATATCTTAGAGTTAATAAATTTTTGAACTTTATTAAATTAAATAATAATATTTTAAGCTATTTTTTGTTTAGAATTTTCTTTAGATAAACGAATTTTATAAGTGTGTGCAAAAAAATTTCTACTTGCTTAAAAATTTCTCAAGATATGGCGAAGTACGCAAAAAAGTTAAATTAGCATTAAGAGGTCTTAACTTAGGAGCCCTCTCCTGACCATATTTTCCAGATTGCGGCTAGACCCGATATTTTGGGAGTTAGAAATCCAAAAGTTATTAAGGGAGGTCTATTTTTTTATCCTTTTTTTTGGCACTGTACATCTAAGGTATAAAAAATATGTGCTCAATTTATAAAGCTTTGTATTAAAAAATATAGTAAACTTTTAAATTTGTTATATTTAATATTTGTTCATTTTTTTTTGTTAATTGTTGATTTTTTTAGGCTGTGCTAATAAAAGATGTTGAGCTTACTGACAAGTTGCCTACTAAACTGGATTTGAATAAACATATTAATTATATTTCTTGTTATGGAAAAAAGAAAGATGATTATGTAAGTATTGTTTTGTTTTGGCAGTTACACATTTGGCTCACTGTCTTCTTTTTTTTTTTTTCTAACCTAAATATTACTTTAAATCTTAATAAAGTTGTTAGAGAACATTAATATTTCAACTAAATGAGTTATAACTGTTTAATTAGTACTACTTATTCATTTTTGAACTAATTTATGTCTTTTGTTACATACTGTTTGATTATTATTTTAGTATAGGCTATCATTATTTTTTTTAACTAATGACTACCATTAAATTCAGTAATATATATCAATAATTTTATCAATGTTTTTCTCTTTTTTTTTTTCTAAAAAGACAACATACAGTTCAAAATATCAAGTTGCAAAATCAATTCAGACTATAAAAAAAAAATTCCAAAATATTAAAATGATCAATGACAATATCAATTGTGCATATAGAAGGCTAATATTCATAATAAAGAGTTTTATGAGTTTATTTGTAACTTTGCTATTACCTTATTATTTGCATTTACTTCTGTATCTTTTTATGTCATTTTCTGGAAATTCACTACATTTACTTTACTTAATGACACGTAACCTATAGATTGGTGGCCAAAAGTGACCCCCAAAGCGTTTCAACTTGGATTCTGAACTGTCTAAAATATTAAGGAAAATATAAAAGAAAAAGAACAGAAAGTTACAGATCTAGTTTACGGCTTTTCTTAATTTTCCAAAATAGGACAAATTTAGTTTCATTATGAGAATTCTATTTATGCAAAGTGTGCAGTGAAGTGTAAATTTGTAAATAAACTAAAGAGAAGGAAAAAGAATTATGCAAGTAGATAAGATAAATAAAAAATAATTTGAAAATTTTAACAGGAGTCTTCTCTACATTAATCTAATGTTGTATTAGTAACAAATTTTGTTTTCCGAATAATAGTGAAAGTTAACTTTTAGACTAATGCATATTGAAATATTCTTTTTGTATGATGCTAACGCAACATAACTTGTTTTTGTAATCTAAAATTATTAATTGTTTAAATTTATTAACATTACTTTTTATTATCTGCTCAAAAGAAAAATATTAATTATGGTCTTTTAATATATTCCACATTACTTTGAAACAGAATCTAAGTATTTCTTGCATATTTATAATGACAGCATTATGTTAATGTTGATCCAATACTCTGTATGTTGTAGTTTTTGTGGCCCAGTACCAAAAAATGGTTGAGCTTCCCTACTTTACTGATTATAATACCTAAATAGATGTTATGGATTATATTTATTATCAATTAATGATTCTAAGAAGCAATAAAAGCATTTTATTACATCTTAAAATAAAAATAATCAACTAAATATTATAGCAATAGTAATCGCTTTAACTATCAGACCTTTATTGACATATGAAAATAATCTTTGAACTTATTTTAAAATAATAATCAAAACTGTGAGTTTATGAAATTGAAGATTTCTTGCAAAGCATAAAGAAAAGTTTATGGTAACGGTTTTATCAATGTGATATTTTATTTTCAAAATGTTCTGTGGAATAAAGGGGACTCTTTTTAATATCAAATTTGAATACAATAATCTGAACTGAAAGTTAATTTACTAATTTGAAGTTGCAATCAAAAGAAAGTTAAAAATATTTTACCATCTTCTTAATTTAATAAGAAAAATTTAACTTCCGTTTCTCAGGAATAATTACGATTTCTTAAAAATAAAAAAAATAGATGGGAATATAACTAATAAATGAAAAAGTTGGTAAAGTAATGAATATTCAATTTAAATAGAGAAAGTCATTCACAAAGTCATTCACAAATTTATGCTACTCATAGATATCAAATTTGAAAAAACAAAGCACATATTGGTTTTCCAAGTTCTTATTTCTGTATGTAAATAAATGGAACATTTACAGTGTTTATGAATTACAAACTTAGATATTCTGGAATTGATATTTAAATGCTATACTAGTTTCAAATTGTTGTTAAAATTGAACAAATTTTTTTGTTACTTAATTCTTTTTAAATACTTGAGTTTTAACTTCGCCTTCGACTTTTAATTAAATTGACTATAATTCCAGAAAATATTTATCCAAGGGGTAAAAAGGGTTATGTATTGATATTTTAATAAATTAGAATTAAAAGAATTTTGATCACCACTATAAATAAATAAGCAGATATATAAAAGGTCAGATATGGAATTTAGTTATGCTCAAAAGTATTGATAAAGGTTTTATAAAAAGTCTATTTTTAAAAAAATGGCTTTACTTTGATAAATTTACCTCTGATAAATTTATTTTGTAGGAAACACAAATGTGAATGGTTATCACTCTGTTTGAAACTCTTGTTTCTAAATATTCACATGGCATTTGTTTGTAATGAAATGATTTATTTCTTATTTTCAGGAATACTGCATGACTGAGTATTTAAGAATCAGTGGCATTTATTGGGGTTTGACTGCTCTAGATTTAATGGGGAAACTTGAAAATCTGGACAAAAATGAAGTTCTTGATTTCTTAAAAGAGTGCCAGCAAGAATGTGGTGGATTCAGTTCAAGCATTGGACACGATCCACACATACTCTACACACTTAGTGCTATTCAGGTACTGTTTTTACATTGCAATTTTATCATGTGAACTAATATTAAAGATATGGTAGTTCATAAATCAAAGTAAAATTGTGTATGAAATTTATATTAAATAAGGGTTTCATGGGATGTGAAATCTTTATGATTTGTGTATTTTTAGAAAATTTTTTTAATTTAGTATCTCTATTCTTTTTAAAGCTAGACTATTATCTATCAGCATTTAACTGACATTAATATTTTGAGGCAATCCAATCTGAGACCTGGTCAGGAGCTGGCATGCACATTCAAATAGGGCAGGGTCTAGTTTGTACCAATTTGAAATACCAGCAAAACCATACCTGTCTATAATTAAATGGTATAAAAAAGATAAGTGAAAATGTGGCTATTAAAAAATAGATGTAATGTCTGAATTTAAAAAAAAAAAACATTTGCATGAAAAATTTAATTATTTTGAAAAAATTTTAAAAAATTCTATTCCTTTTTTAAAAAATTTAATTGTTTTCAAAAAATGAAAAAAAAAAATTTCTAAAAAAGAAAATTTTTACAAAAAATTTTTTTTTTAATTTTTTTCTTTTATAATTCAAAGTATTTTTTTGGAAATTTCAATTTAACTCCTTATAAGTTTAAGTAAGGATTGTTCTGTGTTGTTTTTTTATTAGATATTAGCCATGTATGATTCTCTTGATATAATTGATGTAAATAAAGCAGTAAATTTCATCAAAAGTCTACAGCAAGAGGATGGTAGCTTTATTGGTGATAAATGGGGTAATAAACTTCATTTCTTACATTTTGTTATGTATTTTATTATTTTAGTTTTCATTTTATTTTATTCAATATATCTCCTTGTGATAAAATGTATATTATTCTTTCTTCAGTTATCATTCTTTTTGTTGCATGAGTATGGCAGGGTGCGTAGCGTTTGTAAAAAGTACTTAAAGGTGCTTTTTTGGGGATTTCGTTTTTAAAAGCTTTCAAAGGTGCTTTTTTCAGCTGTCGTTTTTAAAAAGTGCTATTTTTCCGAATAATTTTTTCCCCCCTTCAGTGATATCTGGTGGATCCCATGCATTTCACAAAAAATGGGGAGTTTGCTACGTAATCATTCACGCGGACTTCATGTCGTACCCACGCTATGACTTGCGCATGCCCGCACACTTGTAACCGAAACCCGAGTGCTCCAATTCGGATAGAGAATATCAGATCCTTATGAAATGTTTTTCTTTTTAATTTATTTTATTTTATTCTTGTTTATTTTATTTTACTTCTAACACTTTTTTTGACGTAGGGGGTAAGGGTACTTTTGTTCTGAGTTCAGGGTCAAGTTGAATTCACTCGGTGATGTGGGAAAGTACTGATTGTTTCGATTTACGCTCATATCTTTTTGGTTCTTTTCAACGCTAAAACTGTTTATAAAAAGTTTTTGTTTTTCAATAATATCATTGATTGAATATGGATTTTTTGAGTGCTTGAAAATTTTTGCAAAGTGCTTGAAAAGTTTTTAAAAAGTGCTTATTTTTGATTCAAAGATTTGGCTACGCACCCTGGTATAGTGAGATTTAAAAAAAAGTAATGCTGATGTACAAAGAATCTTTATTTTATCTTATTGAGAAAAAAAATCAAATAATTAAACATCATCAACCTTATTGTTTCTTTTTATTTAATTTTATATTTAATATAAAAATTTATTGTTAACTGTTTCTAATAATCTCAGCAATTAATGATGAACTAAATGCTTAAAAAAACTAAATTCAGACAATCCGCAAAATCTCAATTGATTCATGTTTTTTTTTACTAACAACTGAAACTACTAAAGGATTTGTCTAGATATCTTTAAAAAAAAACTACTTAGCTCTATATTTAAAACATCACAATAAATGCTTTGACAATGTGAATAGTACATTTTTTTTTCTAAGAATTGGTCACTACTTTTAAGATTTTAAGTTATATAACCTTGATTGATTGTGTATTATTATTTCCTCTTTTTCGGGTAATTCTGTATTTGCATTCATAAATTATTTTAAAAATCTTATAAAACTCTCACTTGCATTGTAAGTAAAATTTAATATAATATTGCATTTTTAAAAAATTTATTGATTTTTATGTTCAATTTTTAGGTGAAGTTGACACAAGATTTACATTTTGTTGTGTTGCAAGTTTAGCTTTGTTAGTAAGTAATATCTGTAGAATTCATAGTATAATTTGTAATACTTGTTTTCTTCATTAATTTCTTGTTTATTAGTTGTTAACTCTGATTTCAGTTAAATAAGTCAAAACCTCAGTCTTATATTATAAAAACAGATTTCTATACATTTTAAAAATTTATAAGTGAATAAAAAAGAATATCAATAATAAAATGTATACACAAGGCATAATAATAAACACATAAGAATAGACACATAACATAATAATACACATAACATAATAATAAAAGTGCACACAGACAGTTTGGTGCTCAAACAATATAGTATTCACTATTAGCCACTTTAATTCTGTGTTTTACACAAAAGTGCAATTATGTTTTATTTTGTTTAAATTAATTTAGTTAACTTCTTATAGACACTAATTTTTATTTCGTATATGAAGAAAATCTTTTTAATTATTTTTTCAAAAAAATGGTAATTAGAAACTAAATTGAAGTTTTTTTAATATGTATGCTAGAAGAGCAACTTTACTTGATGTAATATAGTCAATGATCAATAAATTTATGAATGACTCATGAATATACTATTTTTTATCCTGATTAAAAAGTTGATTTTATAAAATTTCATTTTAGTAATTGTAAATCTTTAATTCCTTTGAATCTTTTTTATTTTGTTATGTTTAATAGAAAAAACAATATTAAAAGGTTTTAGTTTTTATTTTACAGGGATGAAAGACTTCCGCGAAAAAGCAGAAAATCGACTTTTTTCTCCCAATTTTTTAGATTTCTGACTATGTTCCAAGAACTTAATTTTTTAAGTGGTCCAATTACTACATAACCCCCACCCCCCTAACTGCTAAAACAAGCCGTCCTAATGATAGCCGTACTTGGAACTAACTTTTTAACCCTGCAGTTGCTTCCTGATTAAGAATGATCATCAGGAGAAAATGGGTGGAGTTTCGGCAAGTGCACTGTTGCCTTTATAACGCCGACTTCTGCTGTAGAGCAAAAAAGATGAGGTTCTTAGTTGTTGAGTTCTAAGCAGGTTTGTTTGGGTCTCTGGTATTTGATATAGGGTTTTCCTCCTTGGTGCAATGCATATTAAATTTGCTCATCTGTGCATTATAGTTCGCTCGACTTCGCTAGCTCTTATTTTTGGCCTTTCTGACACATTTTTGTTTTCGTTTACTTGTGTCCTTTTTACATGCTAAATCGTAAGAGGAATGTATTTTAACATTGGAAGTCAATTTGATAGAGGAACATAAAGTGCATATGATTGATGCGACTGAAAAGAATTAAATTGATTGATTGGTTAAATAAAACAGTCAAACTGACTAAAACTCTCAGTAGCAATCTATCAGAAGATATTGAGGTGAAAGTTAGCGACTGTTTTAATTTAAAATGATTGACTGGTAAATAATTTGAAACTATGAATATTAATCCATATATATGTTGCTTAATTTTCTTTAATGTAGTAGTGGTCCAAGACGTTTAAAATTATGTTTAATTATGTAATTTTAATTGACTTGTTTTTTCGACCAAAAATTACTTTATAAAAATTCAGTGCATGTTAAATTTCCTTACTTTATGTATTTACCTATTTGTTTTATGATTATTGTTTAGAATCGACTAAATGAAATAAATATTGAAAAAGCTGTTAGTTTTGTTCTTTCATGCATGAACTTTGATGGAGGTTTTGGTTGTCGTCCAGGATCTGAAACACATGCTGGGCAGGTAATTTTTATGATTTTTAATACTCTAAAGATAAGTCGCAACTTTTTTTCACTTTTTAATATTTGGCATTCCTGTATCAAAAAACAGAAAAAAATGGTTTTTCCCTTGTTAATTAAAAATTATTACTTTGCAAATAAATTATTCTAAGCTCTTAAAGGGTTGAATTTATAAACTACATTTTTTGCATTTTATTTATGCCTATTATACTACTTGTATCTCTATTATGTTTTATACAAATTAGTTACAAATTATAGTTATATAGTGTTCCTTTTTTGGTGTGTAAGGCACTGTGAAACAGTACAAATATACTATCTTTATAATGGCTATTTCACTGTAAGGAAAGTACCTTAAGTGCCAGTCACAAAAATAAGTTGTTGTTTTTTTAATACAGTTAGTTTTTTTTTAATTATGAAATAATTTATTTAAAATGCTTAGTCTAATTTGCTCTGGTTATAGAAACCGAAATTATTGAAAATTTATTAGTTTTTGGCAAATAGAATGTAAAGAACCATCAGAGATTTTGCTAAATGGGAGGTCATAAATGAAGTTGAAAGAAATGCATTAAAACTTGATCATATCTTTGTAAAATAATGTTTTACAATTTTTCTTTTATTGATTTTTCTTTTATTTTTATTCTAAAAAATTATTCCTTTTATATCCATAACAAAGGTTTTAATTTTTGTTCTCATTAATCAAGTAATTATGAACAAAAATATAAAAGAAAAGCAAACTTAATCTTTACTTTTCATGCTATAAAATTATGTATTCTTCTGTGTTTGTAATAAAATTTTTATTATGTAAGACTTTATTAATCAGTTAAGAACATTTTTTTATAAAACTAATTATTGTACTTCCTTATACATTCGTTTCTTTTTAAATGTTTCAATTATTTGTATTTTTTCTTTATCTCTAGATTTATTGCTGTCTAGGTACTTTATCTATAGCCAAACAACTACATCATGTCAATGCAGATGCTTTAGGATGGTGGCTCTGTGAGCGACAATTGCCCTCAGGTGGTCTCAATGGTATATAATAATATCAGTCTATATATAATTATACCTTAATAATAAATTATACTATTGTGTTATGAATTTAAAATTTGCAAATGTAGGCTAATTGCCTTGCTGCCTTAAGAAGACATTAAGTCATTTTTAAATGAATTTTCAAAATTGGCTATTTTAAGTGTAAATACTATTTAAAGATCAATATTTATATTTGAACAGAACATCAAATAACCAACATGTAATAATAGGAGATGTATAAATGAAGGTCCGGCTCACTTTTTCTATTATTTGAATAATATTTATTTTCGTTATATCTAAATTGCTGATATTATTCATATTGGGGGCATTACTTTTTGGCAGTGAATTTTATTAAATCTAACTCATTTGAATTACAAAAAGAAATGTTAAGTTGAAGCCAGGGTGGCTCATGGGATAGAGCGTTTGAGTTCTAATGAGGTGACCTGGGTTTGAATCCCAGCGATGGCTGGCCTATATGAATTCCGCATCCGACTCACACCAACCCCAGTGCTGGTGTAAAATATACTCGGTGGTAAAAAGATCATGGGTTAGAGTCTCCTTGTCATCAGACTAACCTTGGGAGTTTCTCGTGGTTTTCCGCTCCATGTAACTCAAATGTGGGTTAGTTCCATCAATAAGTCCTCCACAAAGACAAATTTCTCCCAATACTTGATCCAGGAATTTCCTTGTTCTCTGGATTGGGTTCAAAATTACGTGGCTACGGATTTGAACATTAGTAATCGTAAACCCAAAATTGGATCTGTTGTCCAACGACGGTTATAAAATAATACAATAAGTTAAATAACTTTTTCTGTTTACATATTTTTTGCACCATGTATTGATTTTGTGATGACTTATTATCAAATCTTATTACCTCCAAGATTTAGAATTTGTGTCTTTATTTATTTATTAGAATTTATTTATTGTGTCTTTATTAGAATTTATTGCTTTTATATCTATACTGCTGACATTATTTATATTGGAAAAATTAGTTTTTGGTGGTTAATTTTATGAAATCTAACTATTTTGGGAAGCAAAATGAATTTTTTTTTAGAACAAAATATATTCTGTTTTTACTTTTAACAAATAATAAGTTAGGAAACTTTTATTTTGTTGGAGACTTATATCAAATCATATTAGCTTCAAGAATAAGAATGTGTCTTAATATGAGCAGACAATTTAAATTTAAATTAAGTGACAGATTTTTTTCTTTTCTTGTTTCAACTCTGCAAGTTTTATTTTAACACTTAATAGATATGTTATAATTATATTATTAAACTGTATTTCGAATTAATATATCAGACAATTAATGTGTATTTTGTTCAGAAAGTATTTAATCAAATGTATGATCATTCCTTGATTATATAATCTATCTGGGGAAAAAATAAAGTTGAACTATTTTGAGGCTTTTTTTAATCGAAGATTTATGTCAGGGATCTTAAGACGCCAAACTTTTAAAAAAAATATCAGACACTGAAACAGTGAAATGCACCAAAAGTTATGCAAAACCATGAGTAAAATCTTACCCAAAGGAATCTTAATATGTCACCAACACGAAAGAGGGCATTAAGCAGTTATGTTTTCTCCAGGATAATTGGAGCAGGTTTTCCTTACGATTAAAAATAAATTGTTTTTGTTAAACTTTAAGGAAGCTATATGTTATTAAAAGTTCCTGTTAAAACAAAACAATATTGTATTATAAATAAATGTGGCAACCATGCAACAGAAAAAAAAAAAATTTTTCTTATAACTTTGTTTTGAAAGTATAGATGCTGAGTAAAAATCTAATAAATTTTAAATCAAACACTATATCACTTTTATTGTTAAGTAGTTCTTATTTTAACTCTATCCCATAAATATCTTGAAGTTTAATTAAATGAATAATTTTTAGATTTTGGAATTATTTTAAAATCGTTATATGTTTTACATTAGATTATACTTATTCTAGGTAGACCAGAAAAATTACCGGATGTCTGTTACTCATGGTGGGTTTTGTCATCTTTAAAAATTATTGGAAGACTTCATTGGATTGATAAAGTATGCGTATTGTATTTGTTATTCAGTAAATTCTATATTATCAAATAAAATTATGCATTTTTTGTTACTTTTTCTTTTATAAGTTTTTCTTTTTCTCATCAAATCTTTTTTTAGAATGGAATTTTATTTATAAAATGTCCTTTTTATCTCTTTACTTATGCACCTTCCTCATAAATTGTTCTATCAATTTTTTTTTCATTTTGTTGTCTGATTTGCTTATTGCAACAATTTTACTTGCATTTTGTTGCTATGGGACTAGTGACTGTACATGCTTTTTTCGGCTATTCTTGATTTCCATTGCCTGCTACATATAACAATATTTTATTTAGATTCTCAAATAAATCTCCTTTAAATTATAAAATAATCTACAATGTTGTTTCTAAATTTGTAACGCAAAGTGTCATCAACAGCTAAAAATACATTGAGTTATTAAAAATGTAACTCATCAAAAATTGAATTAAAATCATTTTAGATTAATACAAGAGTAGACAAAATAATATTTGAAGCAAATGAATTTTTAAAAAAGATTGTTTGCAGATTATTAATTACTTTTATTAAATAGAAATCTGCAACAAAGTAGCATATGTTTGAATGATTGAAAGACACATGTTCAAAAATTACTAGTAACGTTTTTTCTATTACCCAAAACCTTCTATTAACATATTTCTCCCAAAAAAAGATTTTAAAAAATTAACTCTTTCAATTTTCCACTTTTAAGGAAAATCTACAAACTATCATATTGAAACCATACAATTTAAGATCTTGTAAATGAAGAAGAAAAGAAAAATACCAAAAAAAATGTGATTTTCTATCAATTTTTTCTAAATGTGTTCAGTGTATTATAGGGCAAAAATTTGACCAAAAAATCTTTAATTTTTAAAAAAAATTCCCTTACAGTAAAAAAAAAAAAAGCAGACTGAAACCTCTGTTCTTATCTGATGAACTTAAACTCTCTCTCTCTCTCTCTCTCACAATCACTCAAATAAATGGACATCTTTTCATCATTTTGAAATATAAAAAAAATTTTGTAAACTTGAAAAAAAATTACTAATAAATAATATTTGATATCAGAGACAAAACTTTTTTTCATATTAATGAAAAAAAGTAACTTATTAGGCCTTAAGTAAAAGAAATATAATTCAATTTTAAAGCTTTTTTTTTTTACCATGTTTTTTAAATTACCTTGAATAATTTTTAATTTGTATTTTAGGTATTGTTTATATTTTATGTATAACAATGTGTTTTTATCATTTGTTTTAAATCTTATTTTCATGATAGCTCATTATAAAGTAAAAAGCAATTTCATTTTTCCCGTCCTTGATTAAATTTAAAACTGTTTAAACTTATATAAATTCTCTTCATAAAATCATAATAAATTAACTAATAAAGTACTTTTAAATAATATTCTCTGTGGCGAATTTTCTCTCTCTAGCAAAACTTTGAAATTTTTACTCCTCAATAGTTCAAGTATGCAATTAGTAGCTCTGTGGTTCACAACATTTATATCATTTTTTTTTTCTAACACTAGAGTGTATTCTATATCAATATTTGTTCAATCGATTTCAGCAATATTTAAAATTAGTTGGTATTTAAATATCATATAAAAGAGCTTATTAATGTTTGTTTGTTTTTTTGCGTGTTGGATTTTTCTAATTCTACCAGAAAAGTCATGTTGAGTAAAAATTTGCTTTTCCTTCCATAAAAATTGCCTTCCATAAAAATTTGCTTTTGATAGTTAAAAATAATATTTATTTTACATAATTCTTTTTGATTTTAGTTCATCACCCCAATAGTAATTCTTGTAATCAATTAAATATTATTTTTTGATAAGTTTTTATTCTTATGTTAATTTTTTGTACATTTTATCTCAGGATAAGCTAGTACGTTTTATATTGGCTACACAAGATGAAGAAACAGGAGGATTTGCTGATCGTCCAGGTGACATGGTAAAATTTTTATCCTTATTATTATTTGTATAAAGAAATACTTTTTTCATAATTTACTATTTTATCACTTTTTTTCATTATGCAACTACATTTTCAATCATAATGATCTATAATTTTTCCTATATTCTTAATTTAAATCTTGGTTGTGACATGATTTCAAAGAACATAACAAATATTTGAATGTATTAAATTGATGAAATTATATGAAAATGTCGTATTAAGTGCTTGCATGCATTAATTTTAATTGAATTAATTGCAGAAATATATGTTCCATTAATCCATTTTCTTTCACCAAAATACTTTTCAAGCAAAATATTATAGCCTTACTTATTTTAAGGTTATTTAAAAAATTGCTAAACAACTTTTAAATTACCATTTGTAAGTTTCCTCATATAGTCTTTTTACACATTGGGTCAATTGTCATCACCATAGAGAAGATTTTGTCTATTCAATGACGCAAGAGTGTATGTTTGTAGAAAATAATAATGTTAATTTAATTTTAGCTAACTAGTATTTTAATTATAATTGCTTTTTAAAGTTGTTAAAAATACTTGTTGCAACCTATTTTACTGTTCATGTTGATTTTTTTTTGTCAAAATATCAGTTAAATTACGCATCTGTATTTTATAAATTTAAAGAGCATGTAAATGCACTTTTATGCATTTTTTGACGAATGAAATTTTTTTTTATGTATTATTAAGTACTAGTTGCTAATGAGCATAAAGTTATGTTTTTGATGATATTTATTTAAAAGATATATATATATATATATATATATACACTACTAACCATTAAAATTGCTACACAAGGAAGGAATGTAAATAACAGAATGATATTTATTGGGCACATACATTATAATTAGAAGAACAAGTGATTAAATTTTCAAGATATTTGAATATATAGATTCTGAGGAACCAGTACTTCTGGGCATCGAGTCGAACAGAGATTAGATAGCATAAACGGGTACAGCATTCCATGCAGCTTCAACATTAAGCCACAATTCATTGACCGTAGTGACTGACGAGTGGTGGCATGCCAGTCGTTTGGCAACCAATGACCAAGCGTTTTCAATTGGTGAGAGATCAGGAGAACGTGCTGACTAGGGCAACAGACAAACATGTTCTGTGTCAAGGAAGGTCAGAACCGTGCGAGCAACATAAGGTCGTACATTTTCCTGCTGAAACATAGCATTATAGGGGCCTCAAAGATAAGGCAGAGCAACTGGCCCTAACACATCAGAAATGTAACGCCTGCTGTTCAAAGTGCTAATGTGAACAATAGGTGATCGAGACGTGTATCCAATGACACCCCATACAATTACTCCAGATGATGGGCCAGTATGACAATGTCGAATGCAAGCTACCAAAAGGCATTTTCCACGATGTCGCCATCATGATACTGTATACAGAACCTGGATTTGTTTGAATAGACAACGTCATGCCATTCCTGCGTCCAGGTTTGTCGTTGATCACTCCATTGAAGCTCTCCCGTCTGTGATGCAGCCTCAAGAGTAGTGGTCGCTACATTAATCGTTTAATCGCCTAATCATTTGCATACCACAACATGCCTTATCCGTCCTGCAAATTTCACTTTCATTGTGTGTCGCCTTCCTGGTTTAGCAATTTTTATGGCCAGCACACATTTATTACTTGGTGGCATTTGATCGTAAGAGCCAACCTTGCACACCGTCAAGAAATAGACAAATAATGAACGTTTCCGCTTTTGCCGCTCTATTTATATCAATTGAAAGATCCAATAGTTGAAAACAATATGACGCAATAGAAATGTGGAATGATGTCTCACCTTGTTTTGAAGCAACTGACATAAATTTATGGTCACATATATTGCATTAACCTTTAAAATTGGGTTTTTTCTAGGATAAACAGTTTTCTTTTTTTCGTCTACCACTGTTTATATATATGAAATTTTAATTTTTTAATTAATTTTTTATTGCTTTTTTTTATCATTTTATTATTTTTGCTTAATTAAAATGCAAATTTTTATTAAAATAGAATGGAACTTTTTTTATTCCAGTGTTTGAGTTAAAATTCTTTTATTTTCTACGTAATTTCTTTACTGTCTAATAATTAGTAGTTTAGTACTGTTTTTCAATGGGAACATCTTATATAAAAGTCAAAATGCCCTGTATATTTGTCCAGCAACTTAATACATGTAGGGTGAGTACAGTGTGTTTATAATTTAATATTTAATTCTATTACATTACTCAATAGTGAAACTTTTTTTGTTGAATTTATCTGAACCATAAAATATTTTTGTGTGTAATATATTTAAAAGTTTTATTTTATTAATTTATTGATTTACTATTTTTTTTGCCTAATTTCGGTATGTTTGTTGCTTTTATAGGTTGATCCTTTCCACACTGTATTTGGTCTAGCTGGTCTATCACTGTTAGGTGATGACAGGATTAATGAAGTAAATCCTGTGTTTTGCATGAGAGAGAGCGTAATACAGAGATTAGGATTGCAGATTCAAATGTTAAAAATGTAGAAATTATCATTTGTTTGCTCCTTTAATTGTAATATTTTTCTGTAAAAACTATCACTTTTGTACTTATATGTAATGTAAATAATATACAAAAATAAAGTCTAGCCAAAAGGTTTTCTTTTTCCATTAATGCTATATTTGTATTAAAAATTATTTTTGTTATAGACAAAAACAATAAAAACAGCATTGAAAGTTGCTGATTAGAATAGAATATTTTTAATTATGCCGGAATTGATATATCTAAAAGCAGAGAAAGTACCCACTTAAGGTTACCAGATCTCCTCAAATCTTAAAATTGTCCTCCAAAACTTTCAAACTCAATAGAGAACAGAAACTTTCTTTAAATCTTACAATGTATGCTCGAATTTTTGTGAAAACACCTCTTTTTTTTATGTGCAGCAAAAAACAAAAAAAAAAAACAGAAATGTGCATGGCCTTGTTAAACAAAAAGAATACCAGCGGATAGCTGAAAAAGCACCATGCTAAAGTTAACTAATGAAAATTTGTACTCATTTAAAAATAATTTCAAAAAGAAAGAAACAAATTTCAATAATAATTTCACATGTATTAAACAAATGCAGAACATCATATATGCGTCAAAACTGTTAAGTAATGAAATCAACTTTGAATGAAAATTGTTTTGCATCTGATATTGATTCTTTGCTACACATATTAATTAATAATTTTCCATAAATATATGTGTGTCCTCAAATCATAAAATTTTTGGGGACTCTGCTGATTTGTCCTCAAATTATGGTTTAGGAATCTAGTCATTTTACTCACTTAAATATTAATTATTTTATACTGCTGTCACCCTAATATAGCTGAGAAACATTAAATGTACTGAGAATTTTTATTTGTGCATTTATTATTCAATAGAAGAAATTACGTTTTTGTGTCTAATTTTCTAACTTAAAATATCGTTTGCTCTAATTTAGTATATTGAACATCTCCCTATCGAACCATTGAGAATAAATTCTAGAACATGAAGATCCGATCTTGAGATCGAAAGTTATTCCAGTGGATCCATTTCATTTGAAATATATGTCAATATTGCTGATAATGACAAAAGATTTTTTTCATTTTTATATAGGAAGATTATTTATAGCTGGGGATTATCCACATATATATATGTTTTAATAACTTAAAGAATTATGATTGGAAGAGGAAAATAAGGTGTAATGATGTTCACTTTCTATATTAACATCAGACATAAATAAAAACATATTTTACGCCTAAGCTTGGAAAAGCGTGTCATTTAATATTATTACACTTGTAGTGTTCGTTATATAACGCGTTCTTTCAATTTTACTCTCAACTAAACAAATAAATTACTTCGGAAGACCCCACAAGCATGTTATGATGCTACCCAAAAAATAACCGGTGATATTTTACGTAATTATAGCCAATTGGGTATACTATAGCCTACGTCACAGGTCCTGTTATTCCTACTAAATTTAACTAGTAAACAGCATTTTCTGCAAACCTGATTTCTAGCAACAAGTAAACATTAAATGAAGTGTGTTGTTATAAGTCGTTACTCAGCAGGTTGGAATTGTATTTATCTAGTTCCTTTTGAAATAATGTATTTTGTCGTTTTATCTGAGTTTATGAATTTAGTAAACATATTTAAAACTCAGCTTATTAATTAAACTAAAAGGTAAATGTTATCCTAGTAAAATTTTCGAAGTGGAAGTAGTTGTGTTTTTTTAATATTATACCCAATTAAAGGCAAACGTGGAAAACCTTACTTTATTTATGTTGGGATGTTAATTTTCTTAAATTTGTTTTAAGCTCACGACCTAATATAATTTATAAATTACAAAAACGGTAAAATTTCGCGTTAATTTGTACAATAATAAAACTTCCTAGAATATGAAGAACAACCTGCCCTCCCTAGAAATTTTCCCGTTTTATGAATCTTGTTATTGTCTACATTCAGTCAACCATAATAACAACTAATATCTAATACTTCTTATTTTATAGAAATATATAAAATCCAATTGATTACTTAATTCACATTTAATGTGTATGTAATAATGAATATAGGAAATGCGATGAAAATAAAAATAATTATACAAAACAATTAATAAATTATACAAAACAGATGTGCCGAAACAAAATTAGGTGTTTCGTTAATATGTAAAAAAATAATGCAATGGGTACAATAGCTATTAGTAAATGATAAAAGAACATCTATACCATAATTAAATCAACTATTTCGTTCTTGTTCATGCATAAAAGTAAATGACATTATAAGTACAATAGTCATTTGTAAATGATTCAAAACGTATATTATATAAATAAATTAGCAAAACAATCTTGCTTCCTCGTCTAATTATAAATAAATTCCTTCCTCGTCTAATAATAAATAAATTACTACCTCGTCCGACATACTCCTTTCTTTGAAAAATGAAAGGAAATTTTTGTGTATACATATACGTCTTATATTGAATGAACGTCCATAAATATATACGTACATAAATTGTATGTGCGTATAAAGCGCCAAAAGAAATATAATAATAAATAAAACCGCTAATAAATAAAATATGCTAATTAGTGCAAATTAAATTACGAAATCAGATACAAAAACGTACATTCCATGAGTGAACATACCTTTTTTTCTGTGGATTCAGACTCCAAAGTATATGGAGCTCGATAGTTTAGTCAGGAAAGCTGTCCAAAGTCTGAAACACTTAATGTTAATTTTCTTTTTTGTGTATTTTGCCATATCTCGACGAGAACTTTTTTAGCGAACTGAAAAATTTTTGCACACAAATATGAAATTCGTTTATATCCAAAGATAAATCCATGCAAAAAAAACGACAACTTTTAGTAAATATTTATTATTTTATTTAATAACAGTAAAAAAAAGGTATATAATTTCTTACATCATTTTAAAAAATGTAATTTTATACGGAAAAATACAAAATTCTTGTGAAATCGGTCACAAAGTTCCATAGATTTAACATAAATTTTTGACAAGTTTTGATTTCTTACTCTCAAAATAAGGCGGGGGGGGGGGGTANGGGGAGTAGACGAATTTGGGAAAATATGAACACATTGGAATTACACGGGTTTTAATATGACTTTTTTTAAAACTCGGAAACTATTCGACCGAATTCTTTCAAATTTTATGTTTTGTCAATTAAAATTACATTCGTTAAAATGAAATAAAAATCTACATACTTTACAATTCAAAATGTGTTCGACTATTATTACAGAAATGAATAACACTGCGCAATACGAAATATGGAATATGTCGTATGGAATACGAAATATGTCGTACACTGCGCAATACGAAATATGGTTCCAATAACAGTCAAAGTTTTACCTCCTTAATGTCAATTTGACGTTTTGCGTATTTTGCTATATCTCGAAAAGTTTTCAAACAAACCAAAAAAGATTTTGCTCATAATTATAAAATTTATTTATACTTGTAAATACGCATTTTTTAAAAATAATTATTGTTTTTTATTAGTTTATTTGATAATGGCTGAAAACTTTTAGAATTATTATGAGGTCCACAAACCTTTACACCAGTTTGATCTAAGTAATTCTGAATAACAAAATTCCTGATTTGACGGGAATCGATTTAATAATTCTTGACAAATCAAAGTTTAAATACGACTTTGTTAAAATTTAATAGCTATAGCTAGTCCTGATTTTTGAAAAATAATAATTTTTAAATTTTATTTATTTCCTTTTTATTTAAATTTTTTGTGTGTGTGTGTTAGAAAGTGAAAAATAGGGAAAGAAACATTTTTAGAAAAGCGAGAGAAAAAATTTGAAATAATATCTTCAGTTTTTTTTAATGGCTTGAGTAAAATCCTCGTTTAAAAAAATTATTTCTTTACTTTTTATTTCGTTTAAACCCTTTTTATTATTTTAATATTATTATTTAATTGTTATTATTTTATTTTAATCTTAGAGGTGTAACGGGGATATGTAAATGAACTTCTATATGATACGAAGAAACAATTTAAGATTTCAGCAATGGCAGTTCAATCATCATTAATTGAAGCGACGAAAACAGAGTTTAACTACAACACGTTTAACTGCTCTCTTGATTAAAGAGCTATAATAAATTATGGGATGATAATGAAACGAATAATGAGGAGGGGACAAGAAAAGTTTAACATAAGAGTAAATATAATTTAAATAGGTTTAAAGTTTTAGCCATTGTGATGTCCTTTTAACTGTAAGTCTGAAGTTGTTGATTCCTCCTATCTTCTCAATTCAATGATTACGATATTCCCCATGCATAATATTTTCCGTATTTAATTGTCAAAAATATTTTCTAAAGTTTCCATGATGATTTCGTTTTGAACTACCCCTAGCTACAAATTTTACCTTGGCCCCAGATGGGTTTAAAATTTCCTCAATATGGGTCCTATATGAACATACACCGAGGAACCAATATTAGGATGCCTAGATTTTTTAATATTGGTACTATATAGGGCTAATATCAGTCTTTCTTGGGCCTATATTTGAAGAATAATGAATATAAATTATTGGGGGAATCGAAAAACTCTATAAAGTGCCAATTTCGGAAAAATAATAACCCTTTGAACCCTTATTAAGATTCGTGAATATTGGCCTAGTGAAGGCCTTTATTTTTACTACTAGGGATGTTTATGTTAGTGAAAATAAATGCTATTTGAAAATAAAGAAAGAAACTAACTTACCTCCATCTCCTTCATAGGTAGAAAGTTTCTCTCTGCGCTATCTGCAGCCCATATTGGTTGCAATATATTTTAATATTAAATTGTTCGCCGCATTATCTGTTAACTAGAACTTAAGACGGGCAGAAATAAGCAAATAACAACGAAAATATAAAATTTTTTTGTTTATGATTGTCTAGGTCATAGTAATACTTTGGTTTTAGATTCTACACTTAAAAAATTGATAAATGTCAGCAATTTATCGTGCAGTAATCACTGCTACAGAGAAACATGTGCCAGCGAAATTACAACCGTTGTGGTCCCATCCTGCTGGTGATCTAATTTGAACGATTTTTTTTCTTTACATTTTGTTTGATTATAGGGATTTAAATGAATGTTTATGAACATATAATTGTTATTAAAGTCATTTAATTTTCTGATTTTTCATTCTTTTTGAAAAATTGTTAAAATAGGAATTTATTTTAGCTACAAAGCATGTATTGTAATGTTTTCCTCTATTAAGTAATAAACTTCCTTAAAGTTATCAGAACTCATACTGCCTAAATTTTTAGTCACAAGATATTTTAATAACCTGAACTGTATTAAAAAAGGGATAGTTCCGTATTGGTATATGTTCGCCCCTTCTACCTTCATCAAAGTGTAAAGGGGTTTAAAAAGACTTAAAAATAAATATGTTGGGTTTTTCCCAGCGGTAGCGATTAGAGATAAATTCGGGTTCGGTTTTTGAGTTCCAAGCTCGAATCTCAGAATTTTAATTCGATCCCAAGATACATAGGATTACTCAGAAACAGAGACCGCCAGAGATAAACGTCTAATTCTTCGGATAAATGCCCAATTTCGCGGTCTCGTTATATAAGATCTTTGGTGTCTAAACAAGTAAATAAGTCAATAAACCTTTTTATCACGATTAATTAAAGAAATTTAAATTTTTTGACGCTTAATAACTGTCCTATTTATTTGTTTAAAAATAATAAAAAAGTAAAGAAAATTTTATCATGAGCCCTAGCCTGAAACTTTATTTTTTAGTGAATATGCTCGAGCTGAACCTGTCTGATCTCTAGTAGCTACGTGTCTGTTTTTTTTAAAAATTAAACCTGAAGAATATTTAAAGAGCCTAGTTTTATTGCAAGAAGATTAATTAAATTATCACAATATCAGATAAGCTCAGGCTAATTTTCTTTTTCTTATATATATATATTCATAGTAAAAAATGAAAAAAAAAAAAATATATATATATCTATGAGTACCTATAACTAAGTGAAAAATATTTTTAAGCTATACTACTTAATAAATGTGTAGGAAAATGAAGTATCCTATGGTTAGCAATCCATTATATTATTTAAAAAATTTCTATTTTCTTTACTAAAACTAGTTTTATTAATTTTAGGACCTAAAACTATATTTTTCTGGGCTCCTGCATTTAAATGGGTAAGTTTTCAAACTGTATTAATTAGTTATTTTGTGCCCTTTTAATAAAAATTCTGTTCTTTTTCATATAATATTTAAAAAAGTTTTGCATTTCAGAGACACAAAACAGATTTTTTTTTAATGGTATGTAGCATTCAAAAATATAGGGGGCATTATTTTAATACTCATAAGGATGAGAAACAACAAAAATTTAAATAGAATTCATGCTGGCTGTATTAGCTAGTTGCATTTTGATGCAGGCAATCCCAGTTTAATATCTGTGTTAGTTACCAATTAAACAATCAATTTACACCATAAGTGTATATAATTTTTTAGAGGAAACTTTATATCTAATAAGTTATATCTAATATTCAGTAATAATTATGTTCTTATTACTGAAAATCATATTTAGAAATCAATATTTTATTTCTGTCATTAAAAATCATTTATTTTATCTCATATTGTTATGGTAAATTAGCTACATTCTTCTTATATATTTGTATTAAAGTTCATATAAGCTATTTCCATATATTAATTATTTAGAATAACCAGAAATTTTATTTTAAATTCATTTTATAAAACTATAAAATGCATTTCAAAAAGTTACTTGGTGAATAATTCTACTTCACACTTCAGGGTGGCAGGGCTCAGTGATGTAATGTACAAGGGTTAATTTGTTTTCAAGGTCTGATTAGTCGCTAAAGGAAAGCTTTGGGGAATCTGCTAGGTCTATGCACAGACGTTTTGCGCTGTTCCTATAGTTGGCCCAGGGAAAGCCGCAATTTGCTGTTGTCATTTCTGAGTACGCAGGAAGCACATAGACATGCTTTGAAAATTAAAGTATCCTGCCAAATGTGAATTGCGTTCACTCATTCGCTCATTCATTTATGCGCTCATTCATTTATCAACCAACAAGTAAGGTGTGCGGAAATTGTGCAGGAACACAGATGTTCATGATGCAGGTGAGAAAATTATGGATCAAGGTTTGATTGTATACCTTATCCACATTATAGTGAGTTTTGACAGTTAGATATGTGTCATTCCTTCAATTGAATTCGTCGGATTCCATAGTTTTTAATATCAACTTTTTATTACTATTTCCATTTTTTTTTTTTCAGTTACCTACTCTACAATGATATCCAAATTAATTGAGAATGAATTTTATATTTTGTTTGTATATTAAATGTTGTACAATTGTGAAATGTTATTGTTTCATAACTAGTGCTATTTTGAAAATATTTAGTGTCTTGTAATTGCTGGTATTGGTGATATGGCTAGACCAGCTGATAAATTAAGTGCATCTCAATCTACTGCCTTAGCTGCAACTGGTAAGCATATAAATTTTCTTATTCTAGCAGAAATGTAATTTTAATTTTAAAAATATCTTTTTTTCTGGTTGATTCAAAAGTTTTAATTTATTAATTTTAAAATTTAGTATTCAAAATTTTTTAGTTAGGACTATTTTTAATATTTTAATGGAAATATTTAGAGTTGAACATTGTAGGTGCCTATTTTCCAACTTCTGATGTAGCATTGTGCGCAGAATCTTTTTGCCTTTTGAAGGTCACAGCGGATTTAGTTTATATTAATTTGTCTTAAAAATTATCTCCTAAAACAATAAAGCCTCCCGCAAATGCTGCTTAGATACCAGACATTTGACATTTTCCACAAAGTAAAAAACAGGGTTTTTGTATGAAACTCAAAGCGATATAAACTGAATATTATTGATAGATGTCTAATCTCTCTGAAGCCACCGAAACCAGCTGTCACTATGACATATTCATGACAGCCAAAGCCATCTTTTGAAAATGGACCAAACTAATTTGTACTTCCAATAATATACAAGCAGGGCCGGATTAACCTATAGGCACACTAGACACGTGCCTAGGAAATTCAGGGGCCTACGAAGAACTTGGGAGAAAAAAATTTGTTGACAAAAATAATTTAGCTTTAAAAACAACAAGTGTATTTTGCACAAAATTATGAAGATGCAAATAAAAATATAATATTTTTCGGTAATAAATTATTTTGCAGAATCTTATGATCTAATTTACTATTTTACTTTTTTGCAATTTTTGGATTCAACGAAATCTTGTATTATGCTGTCGAATTCCAAACTACGCAAATTTTAGCGTATATTTTGAAAAGAGGGGAGGAGTGGAGGAAGAAGGGGAGGGCCCAAAAACGGCTATGCCTAGGGCCTACGAAAGGTATAATCCGGCTTTGTATACAAGACATTACTTTATTTTGGAATAAAAAGTAAATGAGTCTTCCCATTAAATCATTTGAGTTATTTTGTCTTTTTTAAAATCATTTTATAACAAGGTCTCAACTGTCTCTGTGGAATTTTTTTTCCTTCTAGATATAAATTACTAACACCTTTAAATAAATTACTTTTTATTATTTAATAAATTTATTATTTTTAATAATAATTTTAACAAGTTTTTGTTAATGTACTGTTGAAATATATAAATCTTTATACACTTTAATTGATTGTCTATTTAAATTAGCACTGAAATTAGTACCTGCACACTTCGGAATTTTAAAATTATAATTTCAGTTTTTTTTTAAAAGTTTATTCAAATTAGTGTCAATCTTGCTTATAACAATTCCTATTTTAATGAGAACTCGGTTTTAATAAGGAAATCGGATATACTTGGTTCTAGTATAATTTTAAAACTATCGGAACAAACTCACTTTTTACAAGCAAATATCAGTTTTAGCGAGTAATATTTCTCTTAATTATTAAAATTTATTTGCTCGCCTTGAACGTAAGGCTGGATGGAACAATTCTCGAAAAGAGTAAATCAGAGCGAAAAAAAATTTGTAGAGGACTTCAAAAGTTTGAAAGTGGAGAAAAATTCTAAAGTTATGTATCTGTTGACACCAATGTTATCACTTCTGAGATACGTAATCCCAAGAATATTGTAACTGAAATTCAAGCAAAAGCTGACAAAAAAAATGTTGATAATGACAGATGTGTAGATTTTCAAGCTAAACCACCCACAATCTATGCAATGGCTTTTGAGTGCACAGAAAAACTTTCAAAAGCAAATTAGTTTTTTGGGAAATGAGATGAGTCTTATCCGAAGACCAATAACATAATAAAGGAATTCAAAGCAAATTCAGGGTGTGTAGCATTTTTAAAAAGTGCTTATTTTTAATTTTCATTTTTTAAAAGCCCTTAAAGATGCTTTTTTCATTGGGTGTTTTTAAAAAGTGCTTAATTTTCCCTTTTTCAAAATGAGATTTTTCCTTTACCATGTTGATTTTCGTTACGAATTATGCATAAAGACACAGTTCACATTGTTCTATTCAAAGTTTTCACAATTAATTCAAACCCAATTTATTTCGGCATATTGTGAGACCATAGTCTATGAAAGCACCATTCGTTTTACATGATTCATAAGTTCATGATTTTTGACATGACGTTTAAAACAAGATAAAACCGTCGATTGTCAAAAACTTTCCAACCCTGCCTAATTATGATAATTTTTTAAAGTGCTCAAAAATATATTTTGAGTGCTCAAAAATATATTTTGAGTGCTTAAAAGGTGCTTTTTTTATATAATTTGGCTACACACCCTGAGATTAACTAATTTCTTTTGTACTGTAAGGAAATAAAATACTAGATCTATAATTTAGTAAGTATATTTGAACTTTTATGGTTTTTTAACAAACCTGTTTGTTATGAGGAATAAATATTATGATCCTTTCACGCTTGTTATAAGCTAGCTAGATTATAATTATAAAAAAATTTCTATTTTTTCTCTCCTATTTTTGGTTAACAGGGAAAGGACCACTAATTTTTCATTCAAAGGCTGCAATTGCAACAACTCACAATCAGCTGCAGACTGATTTGATAATATCAGGGTATAGAGCATTCGCCTTGCAACAAGGTGAATCGGGTTCGAATCCCAGGGATGGCTGGTCGATAAGAATTTCGCACTCGGCTTGCACCAACCAAAGTGCTGATGTAAAATATTCCTGAGGCAGACAGATCATGGGTTAGAGTCCCTCTTGCCATCAGGCTAACCATGTGAGGTTCTTGTGGTTTTCATATCCATGTAACGCAAATGTGGGTTAGTTCCATCAAAAAATCCTCTACGAAGGCAAATTACTCCCAATACTTGATCCAGGACCAACTCTTTGAAAATACAGTAAAATTGACAACAAAAAAATAGCATTTGACTTATTTGTCACATATTTATAAATAACTTTTGATTCAAAAGTCATTACTACATTAACACTCATTTAAAAAATACAGATGAATTTATTTGTTCAACTCTATATGTATCTGTAAAATTATTTTGATTCTATAGTTCTAGATATGTAGCAAAAAATATAAACAAAATAACATGGAAGGGCTAAAACTTTTACTGTTTGTATAACTAAAATATTTAGGCTATGAATTTTATTTTCTCTCTCCTTGATTTATTTTGAATGTTTAAGAATAAAAATGTATAATAATTTAATTAACTGAAAATATCTTTTATGTATTCAATAACTTGGAGTCAAGTAGTTTTAAAATGTTTGAATATTTGTTCCAAAAAACTAATTAACAACATGTAATAAAATTGTGATAATGCTATTTGTAAATTTTTTGCTCAGTAATAAATAAATAAAATAATATTCAATTAGTAACAGGTACATTTTCTGTAAGTCTCTGTTAATTTTTTTTAAAAATAACCTTTTTATTAAAATTTTTCATAAATGTCTCTTATTAGTTTAAACCTATTATATGAACTAAGAAATATTTTTTGTGGAATTGTTCAAACCTGCAGTTTATTATAATGATTTTATAAATTTGTGGAGTAATTGTTTATTATAGACCAATACATTATGTAATTTAAAAAACAACTTTAAATCTAAATTAAGATATTTAATCAGTTTAAATTTTCTTAGGGGAACCCCCCCCCCCCATCTAAATAACAGTCATTTAGTTATCTAAATTTACAGTTTTGACAAATAAGGATAATTATGCAAAATAAATAATTAGTTTGAGGTAAACTTATAACCAAAATTTAACTCATACAAATGTTTTAGAATTATTTGGTCTCTTTTAATAGCTACAATTAAAAAGATTACTTAGTTATTTTGTTTCTGAATCTTATGTCCACTAATGAAACTCTATTAATTCAGCAAAATAAAATCCAACTACTACAGGAATAAGAGATACACCAAGATAATAATATAAGAGGATATGCCGAAAATCGCAGAGAGGATGTAAAAATTAAGTTATTAAGCATCTTATTGGACTTGTAGTTCTAGAGTGTAAAAAAAGTTAGTTTGAGGAAAAATTATAAAAAAACACTTTAGGTATAAAAATTTTGTTTTCTCTTCTTTATTAGTTGCTCAAAAGGAAAATTAGATTAATTCCATATTGCATTGCTTTTCATTGATGCAAGTGTATGATCAGTCCTAATTGAAAGCGTTGATAACTCTTATTATTTTGAAATTCGTTGTTTTATCTATCAATGAATACAATAATGATGAATGTACAAATTTTTTATTTTAAATAGTAAAAACGGACCCAGAAATTCGGAAGTCCTAGAAACTAAGAACCCATATTTTCTAAATTCTAGTTAAATCATTGTACTATCATAAAACAACCCATGAAAATTTAAGAGTAACGCCTGCAAACGTTAATAAAATTTAAAAAATCACCTTCTGGTTAATAAAATTTTATGTATGTTTTAAACACAACATTTAGATTTTAAGATGTAATGGCGAGTCAAAGTTGGTTTCATAAATTTTCTCTTCCTTCTGTACATTCATTTTATGGGAATTTCTTTAAACAACAAATTTTTGTGTTTTATTCTCGAATTAAATTTTTTAAATANCCAAGCTCGAATCTCAGAATTTTAATTCGATCCCATGATACATAGGATTACTCAGAATCAGAGACCGCCCTAGATAAAAGTTTAATTCTTCGTATAAAGGCCCAATTTCGTCGTCTCGTTATTAGATCTTTGGTGTCTAAACAAGTAAATTAGTCAATAAAACCTTTTTATCACGATTAATTAAAACATTTTAAATTTTTTGACGCTTAATAACTGTCCTAATTATTTGTTTAAAAATAATGAAAAAGTAAAGAAAATGAAACTTTATTTTTCAGTGAATATGCTCGAGCTGAACCTGTCGGATCACTAGTAGCTACGAGTTTGTTTTTTTTTTTAAATTTAAATAAATTAAACCTGAAGTATATTTAAAGAGCCTAGTTTTATTGCAAGAAGATTAATTAAATTATCACTATATCAGATAAGCTCAGGTTTCTTTTCTTTTTCTTATATGTATATATTCATTATAAAAAATGAAAAAAAAAAATATATCTATGAGTACCTATAACAAAGTGAAAAATATTTTTAAGATATTCTACTTTGTAGTATATCTGTAGGAAAATGAAGTATGGTTAGCAATTCATTATGTTACATAAAAAATTTCTATTTTCTTTACCTAAATTAGTTTTATTAATTTTAGGACCTAAAACTATATTTTTCTGGGCTCCTGCATTTAAATGGGTAAGTTTGCAAACTGTATTAATTAATTATTTTATCCCCTTTTAATAAAAATTCTGTTTTTTTTTTCATATAATATTTAAAAAAGTTTTGCATTTCAGAGACACAAAACCGATTTTTTTATGTTATGTAGAAAAGTTTCTATGGTACATTCAAAAATAAAGGGGGCATTATTTTAATACTCATAAGGGTGAGAAACAACAAAAATTTAAATAGAATTCATGCTGGCTGTATTAGCTAGTTGCACTTTGATGCAGGAAATTCCAGTTTAATATCTGTGTTAGTTACCAATTTTAAACAATCAATTTACACCATAAGTGTATATAATTTTTTACAGTAAACTTTATATCTAATATAATTATGTTCTTATTACTGAAAGTCATATTTAGAAATCAATATTTTATTTCTGTCATTAAAAATCATTTATTTTATCTCATTGTTATGGTAAATTAGCTACATTCTTCTTATATATTTTTGTTTTCAAGGTCTGATTGGTCGGTAAAGGAAAGCTTTGGTTAAAATCCGCTAGGTTTATGCACAAACGTTTTGCATGCATTATCCACATTACAGTGAGCTTTGACAATTAGTTTTGTGTGATTCCTTTAATTGAATTTTCCTGATTCCATAGTTTTTTATATCAACTTTTTATTATCATTTCCATTTTTTTCTGTCACTCTTCAATAATATCCCAAATAATTGAGAATGAATTTTATATTTTGTTTGTATATTAAATGTTGTAAAATGTTATTGTTTCATAACTAGTGCTATTTTGAAAATGTTTAGTGTCTTGTAATTGCTGGCATTGGTGATATGGCTAGACCAGCTGATAAATTAAGTGCATCTCAATCTACTGCCTTAGCTGCAACTGGTAAGCATATAAGTCTTCTTTTTCTAGCAAAAATGCAATTTTAAATTTAAAAATATCTTTTTTTGGTTGATTCAAAAGTTTTAATTTATTAATTTTAAAATTTAGTATTCAAATTTTTTTTTTTAGTCAAGACTATTTTTAATATTTTAATAGAAATATTTAGAGTTGAACATTGTAGGTGCCTATTTTCCAACTTCTGGTGTATCATTGTGTGCAAAATCTTTTTTAGAAGAAATTTTTGCCTTTTGAAGGTCACAGCGGATTTAGTTTATATTAATTTGTCTTAAAAACTATCGGGAGTACAAATTAGTTTGGTCCGTTTTTTTTTATGGTACAAAATGCATTTATTTCTAAACAGGTTAATCAAAGTATTGTCCATTGCTGGCTACTACTTTTTCCCACCTCTCAGGCAATTTTCAAATTCCATCTTGAAAAAATGTCTTGTCTTTTGAGGCGGTCCAAGTTAAAAGCCAATTTTCGATTTCTGCAAAAGAAGTGAACCGAGGACCTGCCAAATCGTTCTGCGTACTTCGGAACAACAAGTTATCAGAAGGAGCAATGTCCAGCGAATACGGCGGGTTCGGCAAAATATCCCACTTGAGCGTTTCCAAATAATTTTTTGCGATATGAGGCCTAGTTTTATCATGCAGAAGAATAACTCTGCCATGTCTTTGCTCATATTCCAGCCGTTTTTCTCGTAATGCACGGCTCAAACTAATCAATTGTAGCCTATACCGATCCAGGGCTAAAGAGAATACAAGGGCTAGTTCACTCCGCTCTTAGAGCTGAAGCTACGATTTCCCTCCTCATGACGTCACTGTGTCCACAGATCTCGGAGATCGCAAGCAAAGATATGATAACTTTGCATCTTTCTCTTTGTAAAAATAAGTTAGACTTTTTCTGGTTATTAGCCTTCAAACTTTACGTAATTAACACATTATTTCCGTTCATAAACATAGTTCAAAAAAAACTTTCTTGGTTATTATATTAAAAAAATACCATTTTAAACTTATAAAAATGTTTTGCTAGTTGGTGAAAATGACACGATAAATACTTTATTTTAAAAAGTTCAGTTTTAACTTTAACTATTAAGAAAAATGAAGGCATATATCGACACTTTTTTTATCTACATATTCTTTTATAAAGATAAGTTAAGTTAAATTTAGAATCCCTGATTTTAAAATATGTCGTTAATAGCAATTTGTTCATACTTAATCATTAGGAAACATCAACCTTAAACGCTAATTACTGAAACAAAATAATAATTTAGGTTCATAATGACATTAGAAATTTTACAATTGTTTATAGACATTTAAATTTACGATGATATAATTTATAGATATTTAAATTGAAGAGAATATAATTTTTAAAAAAAATCATAAATATTTAGAATAACTACATTAAAAAATATGTTATGAAATTAGGAGAATTTCAACTATATACTATATATTTTATTTATACTTTTTACTTACATTTTAATTTTCTTTGACTTTATCTATTTTTTAATTCTTTTCACCTGCCTTTCTTTATGAAGTAACGAGGCGGTTTCTATTTAGATAATGAATTTTTATAAAAGTTCTTTACGACAGAATAAACGTATTGCTGTTTTATATTAACTGTGTCATTTCGGAATCCATTCTTTACATAGTTGTTCATTTACTTTAGGGAACACGCGAAAAATTATACTTTTTCCTTTTGTTTTTATATCAGAATTTTTGCAAGTTGCAATCGCGCAAACTGGCATTTCGATAATAGTTTTAAATTCTTGTAAATTCACTGCAAAAACTGAGGAAAGTCATTATAGAAAATAACAAATGTCTTAGAATATCTCGCAAAAAGAAATGATCCAATATTAGTTAGAGCTAGTAAGGCCAAACGCTCCGTTCTTGAAGTAAAAGTGCGAGCTTTGCGCCAAAGTGACGTCACTAGAGTGACGTCGGAGGATCGGCGCGGCGAGAGATACTTCAAAGGAATGAACCAGCCCTTCTATTCTCTTTAGCCCTGATACCGATCGCCCGTAATGGAATCGCCAGGTTGTAGCTGCTCATAGTATACAACACCCTTTTTGATGTTGAGGTCAATGGCAACGATTGATTGGGCATAGCGTAGTATTTTTTATTCTTGGGGTTGTCGTAGAATATGCATTTCTCATCCCCAGTCACAATCGCAAATTAAAAATCGCCTTTCAACGTCTCTCGATTTCAGTTCATAAGGCACCCAATTGCCTTGCGTGTGAATCATACCCATGGATTTCAATCAAACAGATACGGCTTGTTTCGTAACTCAAAATGATTCTGCAAGCTCCTCTGGCGTTTGACTTGGATCTTCATCGAGTAATGCCTCCAATTATTTGTCTTTGAATTTTTTAGGCTGTCCAGAGCAAGGCTTGTCTTCAAAACTGAAATCATCATTCTTAAAACGTCGAAACTATTTCCTACGTGATTTATCAATTGGAGCATTGTCACCATAAACTTCTACAAGCATTCAATGCATGCGCTTCAGCTACACTTTTCTTCCATTTAAAGCAGAAACATAAAACCTCCCGCAAATGCTGCTTATATACCAGACATTTGACATATTCAACAAAGTAAAAAACAGGGTTTTTGTATGAAACTCAAAGCGATATAAACTGAATATTATTGACAGATAATATTCAGTAATAATAAATAACGGATACCTTTCTGAAGCCACCGAAACCAGCTGTCACTATGACATATTCATAATAGCCAAAGCAATCTTTTGAAAACGGAGCAAACTAATTTTTTCTCCCAATAATATACAAGACATTACTTTATTTTGGAACAAAAAATAAATGAGTCTTCTCATTCAATCATTTGAGTTATTTTGTCTTTTTTAAAATTATTTTATAACAAGTTCTCGACTGTCTCTGTGGAATTTTTTTTTTTCTAGATATAAATTGCTAACACCTTTAAATAAATAACTTTTTATTATTTAATAAATTTATTACTCGTTACTACTGAACACTCCAGCCAATCAATATCACGGGAACGAGAAATAGCAGGCGAAAACTCACCCCATCATTTTCACGGGAGCGAGAAGGAAGGGATGAATTGAAAATATCTTTTATGTATTCAATAACTTGGAGTCAATTGGTTTTATATTTGGTTTAATATTTATTCCAAAAAACTAATTAGCAACATGTAATAAAATTTGTGATAATTCTATTTGCAAATTTTTTGCTCGGTAATAAATAAATAAAATAATATACAATTAATTACAGATACATTTTCTGTAAGTCTCTGTTCATTTTTTTAAAAAAAAATAACCTTTTTATTAAAATTTTTCATAAATGTCTCTTATTAGTTTAAACCTGTTAAATGAACTAAGAAATATTTTTTGTGCAATTGTTCAAACCCACAGTTTATTATAATGATTTTTATAAATTTGTAGAGTAATTATTTATTATTATAAACCAATACATTATGTAATTTGAAACACAACTTTAAATCTAAATTAAGATATTTAATCAGTTTAAATTTTCTTAGGGGAAAAAAAACCCCCATCTAAATAACAGTCATTTAGTTATTTAAATTTACCGTTTTGACAAATAAGGAGCATTGTGCAAATTAAATAATTAGTTTGAGGTAAACTTATAACCAAAATTTAACTCATACTAATGTTTTAGAATTATTTGGTCACTTTTAAAAGCTACAAATAAAAAGATTACTAAGTTATTTTGTTTCTGAATCTTATGTCCACTAATGAAGCTCTGTTAGTTCAGCAAAATAAAATCCAACTACTACAGGAATAAGAGATCTGCCTAGATAATAATAAAAGAGGATACGCCGAAAATCACAGAGAGGATGTAAAAATTAAATTGTCCTGCAGTGAACTGATCATTAAGACACGGTTCCCAGCAGATCACCGAAGTCAAGCATCACTGGCTACGGTCAGTGTGCGGGTGGGTGACCACTTGGATCAGTCTGCGTGGGGACCGAGGGTGTGCGGTATTGGTCCTCGTTAAGCTGTGCTACCGTAAAGTGCTTGACTTCGCGCGCTACCGAAGCGGGGGTGCCATCCCCTCCGCAGAGGATCAAAATTGTGATGGCATGTCTTCGGATCATCCTCTGGGATGTTTCCCAGACCGTCGCCAATAGCCCATTGTGCAGCTCTAGTGCGACGTAAATTAACAACAACAACAGTAAAAATTAAGTTATTAAGCATCTTATGGTAGTTCTAGAGTGTAAAAAAAGTTCATTTGAGGAAAAATTATATAAAAACACTTTAAGTATAAAATTTTTTTTTTCTCTTCTTTATTAGTTGCTCAAAAAGGAAATTAGATTAGACTAAGTACCATATTACATTGCTTTTCATTGATACAGGTGTTTGTTCAGTCCTAATTGAAAGCGATGATAACTCTTATTGTTTTGAAATTCTTTGTTTTATCTATTAATGAATGCAATACTGATGAATGTACATATTAATAAATTGATAAAGAAGTAGAAATTTTTTTATTTTGAATAGGAAAAAGGTACCCAGAAACTTGGAGGACCTAGAAACTAAGGACCCATATTTTCTAAATTCTTGTAAAATCATTGTACTATCATAAAACAACCCATGAAAATTTAAGAGTAATGCCTGCAAACGTTGATCAAATTTAAAAAATCACCTACTGGTTAATAATATTCTATGTATGTTTTAAACACAACATTTAGATTTTAAGATGTAATGGCGAGTCAAAGTTGGTTTGATAAATTTTCTTTTCCTTCTGTACATTCATTTTATGGAAATTTCTTTAAACAACAAATTTTTGTGTTTTATTCACGAATGAAATTTTTTAAATAATTTTGTGTCATTTTTTAAAATCATATTATAAATTGCAAGCAACTTTTGTTTTACTTCTAAAAATTATAACTTAAATTTTCTAAAAAAAAATTTATTTTAGGTATCATTTGGTCAAGATACTCCATGGTAATAATTCCTAAGAACTACAGTTTATTTAGTGTAAATATCTTTGTAGCTTTAACTGGTTTATTCCAACTGAGCCGTATATACAGGTATGAATTTCATATAAATTATCTTTTTTGCATTAATTAAGGATTAAATCAGTTTAATTTAAATACAAATACTTTTTTACAAAAATATTGATTGGATGATATGTTATAAAATGTTTAGTAAATTTTTTAATTCAATAATTTTAAAAAAGTAATAAATATTTTAATACAACATATAAATTATTTTTTTATTGATTTTCATTGGTTTAAAATTTATTCTAAATATTTTATAGTAGTATTATGCTTCAATTAGAAAAATTACAATATTGGTGTGCAATAAATTTCAACAGTAAGAGTTTTAATATAATTTTAAATATCTAATAATTATTTCGGGCTTTTCAGAGTGTAGAATAAGAACAAAGTAACTTTACTATACAGAAAATGCCCAGACTTAAGTGTTATGATTCGCTAACTTTCTACTGTATCTAAATTTTTCTGTTTATAAAAATGATCTGTTTAACATAGGAAGTTAATTTCTTATTTTGTTTCTTTTAGGCACAAACAATCTTTGAAACAACCAGCAGCATAAAACCCTATTGTGTTCATTATTCTTTAACAGTTATTTATTTGTTAATCAAATATTTAGATTCTTAAGTTTTTGAATGATACATGTTATTAGTGATAGCTTTTAAATTTGTTACAATTTTGTAGCAAAATTAAAATAATTTTTTGTGTTTTCATTGATTTATTTGTTATTTTAATGTGAAATATAGATTTTATAAAGTTGTATAATGTGTCATAGCTTAAGTTATTTCCGAAGTAGATAGCACATAACATTCTAAAATATGAAATAATTTTTCCAAAGCAAGTTTTGAAACAAATTTATTATTTTTTTTAAACTTGAGTTGTACCAAATAGTGATTTGGGCTGCATAATAAATATTCAGCCCAAAATAATTTCTTTTTCTTATTCATTACATTTAAATTTATATTTAAGTGGGAAAAAAACATTTTTAATTATTGTAAGACTATGTGAAAACTCGTTATTATGTACAGTACACTTATTATATATAGTGCACAAAAAAAGAACAAAAAAAACGGGCGGCCCTGGATAACTTTTGATCTAGTGATCGTATCTTCATGTTCCAACACTCAATCTTAATGGTATGAGGGAGTGACTTCTAGTTAATTAGTGCAGACGATGTTTTAAATTTTAAAATCTGACACAAAAACATACTGTCTCTGAATTAAGATGACTTTTTTTTTTTGTAGATTTGGATTTCTAACCCAATAATTGGGTCAGGAGAGTGGTCCAAAATTTAGGCCCTTTGTTATTAATTTTATTTTTTTGTATTTTATCATATCTCAAGAACTTTTTGAAGTAAATGAAAAAATTTTGTGCACAATTATAAAATTTATTTTATCTAAAGATAATTCCATGCAGAAAGTTGCTTTTAGTAATTATTCATTATTTTTTATAATTTTTTTTTAATAATTGTAAAAAAAATTCAATTGTAATGTTTAGGATTCTTTACCATTATTTTAACGACTGTAATTTTACATGGAAAAATACGAAATTTGAGGAAAATTAGTCAAATTGTTCCTGAGAAATCGAATTTTAAGTATACGACTTCTTTAAAATAAAGTTATCGTTGAATACCTCAGAGATGATTGTGCTCTGGAAAAAATCCTGATTTCCAGCTAAACCGCAATCTGGAAATCCAAGGTCCAGAAGTTTCAAGAAATCATCAATCACATTTATGTATCAAATTTTTTGTATATTTTGTTTAAAAATATTAGAATTAGAATTTATACTTGGCATCTCTTTCATTTGTACATATTTTTCTGGTAGAATAAACAATGTGATTAGAGATAAAAGGAAACTTATACATAATTATTAATTTAAATTATGCTGCATATAATTTATTTAAAATTTCACGTGAAAATATTAATAATATAAATTTATAAAGGCATTAATTTTTTGAAATGTGTCATTAATAATTTTTTTATTCAAGAAATTCTCAGGATTTTTGAGTTGGGGCTCACAATCACCCCTGATACTGGTAATGTTGAAGAATTGTGAACATGTAACAAAAATTTAAATGTAAATATTTAAAGATCTTTAAATAAAGTGTAATAATAAAAGAATAGATAATTATCAATTCTAACAAAGAATTCTTTCATTACAAAAATACCTTTCATTACAAAAATACCTTTCATTACAAAAATACCTTTCATTTCATTTTCTTACCTTTTCGACATAACATGTTCTCTGATAATTTCCTGCTTCGAATAACCTCTTAATAATTAAATAATAAAATTTTATAAATGAAAAATAACTTCAGGTCTATATGGACAAATTGTAAATAATATTTCATTTATTTTAGGCTGTTGTTTTAAATTGTAGCTCACTGTTAAAGTAGTTTATTAGAGTGGATTAAAAAAAGTTGAAGTGTTATAATTCTTTTAGAAATAGTGCAAAAGAATTGTTTATTTTCATCATTAGGAAGCTTTAGAAATCATATAACTCAAAATTATTATCTTTTGCTGCGAAAGGTGTAAAACTTTGACTACAAATGCCTAAAACGAGAAAATAAAAGATATAGTCTATCAGTTTGCAGTAGGTCTAAAAACGTAGCATTTCATAGAAAACAAATTGCACTAAATTTTAGAAATGTACCTTTTTATTTACCGCCACCTCAATGGTGACGAAGTAGTAGAAGGTATGAATTTATAAAACTAAAAATGTTAAGGTAATAATGTTTTAAAGAGACAAGTTGTACAACTACATTCAGCTAATCATCAAAATCTGGTATTTTTACAATTGTTTGAATTTTAAGCATGTTTAGTCAAAGGTTATTAAATTTTGCAAATTTGACTTCATATTAGTAACGAGTCTCTGAACTGCTAGGAATTGCATAATACACAGTTTATCAAAATGCTTAGACCTTTGGTCAGCTTTTTTTCCGATGCAGACAACTGTGAGCTTTGGTGTTAAACTTGGGTTAAATTTTTTTTTTTTAACTGCACAAAACTAGCCTGAAATTACGAAGGTTTGTACGAAAATGTACAGGGAATAAGATGGAATAAAATAAAATAAAAATTCAATAGTTAGTGCAAGAATTACTAACTGTTAAGCTTGATATAAAAAATACCATATGGGTCATTGGCCTTGGAATGCAACTTAAGTTCAAATATGGCTTGCTGAAAAACCAGTTTTGTTAATGAACTTAACAGGAGCTTCTTTTTTTAAATCTGTTTGAAAGTTATTGCAGTTTTAAGTTATTTTTTTAAACACTACACTTCGTTCTGCAGATCAAGAACAATAAGTTTTACAGGGTTACGAAAGAGTAAAAAAATTTGGTATTCAATAAATGATTCGATTTAAATTTGTAGTAAAGAAATATCATGTTTGGTCGATCTGTAGCATGCTAAAATAAAACACCAGAGTTAAATTTTGACCTTCTGAAAAAGCCATTTTTATTTGCGAACATAACACAAGTTTTTTCTCAAAATTCCAGTTAGTTCAAAATTTATTGCAAATTTAAGAATTTTTATCGTAAATTTTACTCAGTTTTTTTTTGCTTTAAATATTGACTATATATTTATCCTTGTAAAAAATTTCTTTTCCCCAGAATTCCTAGTTATTCGAAATTTATTGCAAATTTAAATACTCTAACCCTAAATTTTTTTTGCTTTATATATTGATATTCATTGTTGCAGAAAATTTATTGTTCATTCTCAAGATCTTTATTTTAAAAGCTTGCACTTGAGTAAATGTCAATCAAAAGTATTAAAGAGAAAGAAGAGATTATATGCTGACAGTAAGTCGTAAACCTTAACATTCATATTGAAAGCTTTCAAAATTAAAAAAAACTTAATTCAAGAGCAATAAAAATTTCCTCTTATTTAGTCACACACTTTGTATTTCTTAAATTATATATTTTTTCAAATCCAGGTAATTGTAGATTTCGTTATGATTAATAAATTGACAAAAGTTTCTTACATAAAGCTACAAGAATAGTATATTTTGTCAACGAAATGTTTTGTGTTTTAGTGAAAAGTATAGACTTTTAAGGGGAAAGATGATGAATGAAAAGCAATTATGTGGGTTGGTGAGCAAATCGAACACTGGGTTTGGCAAATCAAGTGCTCGATTGAGCTTTCCAGTAACTTTTAAAAATGCAAAACCTTCTTTAATTCCTTTCAATTTTTGATTTTATTTTAGTTCATTAAATATAGTAAGAAAAATATAGTTATTAGTTTTTCAGTTTAAAAATATCAAGAAGTTTCCATTAAAGTATTATATTATTTATCATAAAAATTGGTAAAAAAAAAAAAAAAGATTTTAAAATTGCTATTTATTTTCAAAATTAAAATTTACATAACATCTAAATTCATTGCCTAATTTCCTTTTATGCTTGGGTATAAAAGAACTAGGATGGACATTTAAATGCTTCATAGCTAATTCTTCCATAACTGCACCTGTAAAAAAAATAAGACATTTATAAGTTTTTTTATAGCCTTCAAAACAAAGCGTAAATATTATACTAAGTATTAATAATTTCTTAATAAGATATATCAATATAATATATCTTAACATAACATTTAACGTAAATCACCACATTTCAAAACTGTGACTGTTAAGAAATCTCCAGGAATAAATTACTATTTTAAATTATATATTTCAGGAATAATTAATAAAAACAATCAAAAATTATATTTATAAATTTTTAAAAATAACTAAACACTAGAAACAGTATTTTGCATTTTAAAAAAGCATTTGAATATACAAAAGGAAGAGTTTGTAAAAAATTCAACACACTCAAATTGTCATGAAAAAAATTAAATGCTTAAAATTTTTAGTAAATATTTAAAAACTATTTGAGTGTATGAAAAGTTTTATTAAGTAATAATATTTATTGGCTAATCAGCATATTCTTTTTTATTACATTTTTAAAAAAAATATCTATATATATTCAGGGTGTGATCAGTGGATGACAAACTGATTTTATAATTGAAAATCTCGGAAACAAAGGACTATAGAAAAATAAAACAAACAGCATGCTTTTTGTGAAAGCAATAAAAATTTTCAACAGAAATTTTGGAATTTAGCGGCAAAGATTGTCGAGGGATGACGCTGAAAGACATTAATTAATGGAGTGATCAGCTTTAGTATTAAAACAGGGAACAATTTAGTCATAGAAGATTCGGAGGTTTAAGCTGTACTCAATTGAAGAAAGCGCATTTCTGTACTGGAATATAACAGTTTGATTGTAGTTTTCAAGACTTCTGTACAGTGCCATCTTTAGGCATTTTTTGTAACAATTTAAAAATAGTTGCAACTTTTACAATAGATATACCATTTGTTTCAGAGATTGAATTTTGAAATTAGTCAGTCATCCACAGGACACCCTGGATTGTATACACACACATATACATATATATATATATATATTCATTTGTTATGAGGGTTGTTGCTTTAAAATATAAAATAAAGCCTCGTTTAGTTCAATAACAATGAATGTCTTGAAAAAAATAGCATACCTAGTCTAATTTTATCTCTTCATATTATATTAAAAATTTTGTTTTCAAAAATTTCAATTAACAAATACATTATCTTACCTGTACACAGAATTATTTTCTTGTCTGTCAGTATGGAAATAGTTTTTGCAAATTTTTCCAAACATTCTTCAGATAAAAATGGTGGATCAGCTACTACAACATCAAAATAAGAATTGAATTTTTTATCCACATTATCAGGATATTTGTAATCGTAAAATACAAATCCATTTGGATATTTCTCTTGAAATCTTTTATCATACTCAAAAAGATAAATTCCTTCAGCATCAGGACAGAACTTTAACAATTTATGGTAAACTGATGGACTTGACACACAGGCTATTCTGAAATAATTTAATACATTGGGAAATTATAAGGGATATTATAAATACACATTAGTGTTTCATATGTTCATTGTATGTTTTCTCTACACAGGGCAATAAAAAATGAACAAAATAGTTGCTTCTAGTAGCCTATAGTATGAAAATAGTCACCTAAAATTATGAAAATAGTTGCCTAAATAAGAACAAAAATTTTGCAATATTATGACTAAAATTTTATTAAATGACTTCATTGTAATATACTATGATCTATTTAGTCAAGTTGATGGCCAGTATGATATATTTTAAATAAACGTTAGTGTTCTAGCACTAAATTTTAATATAAAAAAATTAGTATGTTTGCAGAACATTAAATACTTTTAAATGCTAGAATTAATTCAGAAAAATAATATTTTGTTAAAAAAACATACTCTTTCTATTAATTTTCCCTTTTATCAATAATTGATTTAGCAATTATATATATATTTATTAAAAGGTGATTACTAAAATTCGAAATTCATGCACCATAGTATCGTATTAAAAATTGGGTTCTTTTAATCATGCATAATTTTGTTGCAATAACTGTTGAAAAGGCGATTGAGAAACAAAATAGATTCACAATAGAATTTGTGCAAATTGAGCACATTAAAAAGTGATGACTCAAATTTGCAATTCAATATTTTGTTATTTAAGAAAGAAAAAAATTCATAATGTGCAGAAGCTGCCGCAGTTTGTCAACTCAATTCATGCTAAAAAAAATAATAAAAAAAACATTGCTGGAGCACAGAAAAGTCTCCCAATAGTCTCCTTTTCTTGAAAATAGTTGCTTTTTTAGGCAAAAAAAGTTGCCATAGTTGCCTCAGGTCAAAAATAGTTGCAAGTAGTTGCATTTTAGTCACCTGTGGAAACCCTGCTACAGTATATTTTCTATTTATTTTTTAATAATACTACTGAAAAAATTATGTTTATTTTTTATTCTTTATATACAAAAAAAAACAAAACATTCATGTAAAATTGCAGATAAAATTTATGCTTGCAAACTTGTTGAAGAAAGAATATAATACCTTTTGGTTTCGATATGTTTAACAGAATCGAGAGCAGCAGTAGCAAGAAAAGTAGATGTCTCATCATCATACCAAAATTGACTGAGTTCCTGTGTAATTAATTTAAAAGTAGTTAAGTTTTTTTTAACAAATATATTTTATGCTAAATTTAACTATTTTAAGTAATGAAGTTATGTTTTATTTTCCTGCTTAACAATTAAAAAAATATTTGTTTAAAAAAAGTAATATTTCTCTCTTATGAGAATCCTGCTTTCAAATATGAGTATTTCTGCATTTTTACAAACTACAATTGGGCTTGATAGAAAATATGAAAAATAGAAGGTATTCAGTTTAGCGAAATTGCAGTAGTACTTTTAATGAAGCAAATTTTTACATTGCCATTGTTAAAATTTGCTTTACAAACTATTATTATTATTTTTTATTTTTAATACATTAATAGTACAAATAAAAAGATTTCAATGTTTGATAATATAAACCCATATGCATGCACTGAAAATTATCCAAGGCCCACACTAATGTGTTTGTTGCTAAATAGCTCAATTTGTAAAATACCTGAATCTAGAGTAGTAGCAGTAATGCATATCTACTCACAGAGCCATTGTAAAAATTTGCTCCAGAAACTATTATTTATTTATCCCTTTTATTTTTGAAATATTACAAATTAACGTAAAAAAATACAGTTGGTTTTGGTACCAATTCTTTTAGGGTTTTATTTATAAAAAACACAAAAACCCATGTAGATTTAAATTTTTTTCTCCAATGCTAAAGTAAATATCATTGTAACTGTTATATCCATTTCTTTAAACAGAATTAAAATATGATTATCCATGAAATTCAATTAATAAACGAATTCTCTAGATAATACACAATAATCTAGATGCAATTAAAAAATATTACCAGTATGAGAGAAAAAAATATTTATTTGCAAGATTGCCAATTTTTTACAATATTTTCAGCATTGCAATTAAAAACTAATAAACCAAAATGTTAAAGAAAAACCATGTGATACTCTTTTAAATAATTGAATATGAAACGCTATCAAATTAAAATTGTAGAATCGAAATTTGTCCTTCTATTACAAAAGTTCTATTTTAAAGTCACAAAATAGTATTTTGCAATTGCAAACAAAAATTTTTTTTTTACTGAATAGATACTATTATATTTTTAGAAGAAAAAAAAAGTTTTTTTCTATTGTCGAAGTAGGGCAAGCATAAATTTAAATGAACCTAATCCAAAAGTTTAAGACATAGTACTAAATTACTTATAAGTAAGTAGTACATCAAGTGGACATAATCTTGATCTTATTGCTAAATCCAAAACTTCGGTGGTCTGACTCCAATAATGCAGATTTTAAAACAATCAGGGTATTGAACTGCGAACTGGCAACAAAAGGAGAAAATATTAAAAGCCAAGACCCACCTTGGGCTGTTGTACCAATGATGATGTTTTGCAGCTTCAGCTAAAGTTTTGATATGAATTTTAGACATAAATTGGATATACCATGTAATACAAATATTCAAGCTCTGGAATTTTAAGGGACACAAGCATAAAACAATTAAAATAACTAAGGTTGTAAATTTTTTAGCAGAAATATGAATTTAAAACCTTCTACACAGTATTTATCTATTATATTAAGCACTATAACTAAAAGAAAATAATTCTAAATGCCAATAAAACTGCAAAAATGTACATAAAATAAACTGATTTCAAGAATCATCACTTCAGTGCTTAAACTATGATATTCTCTTTACTTAACTAGCTCTGTTATTTTATTTCGGGATGTTTTTATAGCGATGTTGGTTCCCACAAACTACTTTTTTTAAAGAGCTAAAGGGTTTTTTAACTTAAAAATTTTTTAAAAGAAAGACAGCTAATTCTAGGCAGGGTAAACAGGGTGCAGCACCCTGCTGCCCTTTTAGTCAAAATAATCCACCCTGTTGCCCCTGAGGTAAATTAGTGTCCTGATGTAATAGACTCCTTACCCTTTTTGCCCTTTCTTTTCTCAACCCTTCTTTATTTTTTTACCCAAACTCTACAATGGATTTCTTAAACTTTTTTTATTTTCAACTCTTTTTATTTAGTTTGTCATTGCTGTCAATACACAGATTTATATGGGAAAGGAAGAATAGCCATCAACCCCCTTGTTGCACTTGTCTTTGAAAGTTTGCTGTTACTTCCACCATCATTAAATCATAATTAATATTAATCATTTTAATTATTAAATCATAACTACAGACACTTAAAAACATACATTTATTATTTTATTAATATATGCATGCATTTATATAAATTACTAAGCTAATTAGCTCATTTACTCGATATATATGTTAATTTATTAATAAAAATTAGTAATTAATATGATTTCTTTGCTACTTTCAGTAAAGTAAAAAAAAAATTTCTCTTACTAATTAACAATGTTTTTTAATAGAACATGTAAAGCCCATAGAAAGAAATTATTGCCTTTTTAGAATAATAATGCCCCTTTTTTTAAAATTTTTGCACCCTGCCCTTTTTTCTACCTAGAATGAGCTCTGAGAAAGATGTAGTGCACTGAAGTGCCTACGTTACACCCTTCAAGATGATTCCCTTCAGTGATAGTGGCTGTCACAAAAATTTGGTGATTTTTTTTATCGATAAACAGATACCTATAAGGAAATTTTCCTTTTAGTTCGCCTTCTTTAAATTCGACCAGCGTTGAAAAATAAAAGTTTCAACACATTCTGTTAATAAAAAAAATTGTGGATATACTTTGATATTAGTAATACAGGGAAATAAACTAAACAATGCCGAGTTTTATACATTGAAGTAAAAGGAAATTTTTTTTTTACTTAGTTCAGTTTTCTGTTGTTGTTGTAGTTAATTTACGTCGCACTAGAGCTGCACGGTGGGCTATTGGCGACGGTCTGGGAAACACCCCTGAGGAAGATCCGAGGACATGCCATCGCAATTTTGATCCTCTGCAGAGGGGATGGCACCCCCGCTTCGGTAGCCTGACGACCTGCACGCGAAGTCGAGCACTTTACGGTAGCNTTATCGATAAACAGATACCTATAAGGAAATTTTCCTTTTAGTTCGCCTTCTTTAAATTCGACCAGCGTAGAAAAATAAAATTTTCAACACATTCTGTTAATAAAAAAAATTGTGGATACACTTTGATATTAGTAATACAGGGATATAAACTAAACAATGCCGAGTTTTATACATTGAAGTAAAAGGAAAATTTTTTTTTACTCAGTTCAGTTTTTTATTTGCGACATCTATTGTTTAACTTGTCAATCAATAATTCAAATATAGCATAATTTAGGGCACAATAGTATAAACTTTCACATTACCCAGTCTTCTTCGAGTAAATTATCAGATGTGCTGTTTGAAAGTGTTTGTTCAAGCATAAATTCTTGTAAAGCTTTCATAGCTTCAGCGGATAAACCGATATCATCACTGTCCATGGTTCAATGCGTAAATATATACTTCAAAATATTGATGAAAAATTAAGAATAAGATAAGAAAAATTGATACATCTATTCGCCCTTTTATTTGGTCATTTCTTTACGCTAAAATTTTTTTGAAGACTGCCTCAATGTGGTGATGATTTTAAGATTCTGTTTGTCAACAAATCCCTGTTCACTTTTTCCCCCATTTGCTGTATTTGATGTATTATTAAAATTTCTGTTTTATCCAATCTTCTTGATTCTTGGCTAATTCAGACTTTGACTACACGGAATAAACTGTTGAAACGTAAGCAGCAGTTTTCATGCTGGTTAAATGGTTTTTTACGAACGAAAAGAGTGCATGATTTTTTTTGTGGATAATAAAAAAAAACTGTTTTCAATAAACTGATTTTAATTCTTTTAACTAAATAAAATATTTTAAAATTAAATATTAATTAAAATATAAATTAATATCAAATGATAATTTAATTATTATTCCTTCACGAGAAGGAAAAAGCAACTCAACCCTACTCTAAATTGTCGAAGAACGAGCACGTTCGTGTAACTTTTGCTTATTGTTAATTAAAATTTAAATTTTATACTTCATTTGGAGTAAAACGGTACAGTAATTTATTACTTTTCATAAATAATTGTTTTTGAAATAATTTATGTGATTATATTAGTTGTCAACAATGATTATTTCCTCCTCTTCGGTTGTGCAATTGACCGATTGGTTGAGTTAGTCGAATTGCCTTGTGCAATAATTTTATGTTAATTTACTTTGCAATTGTTTTTACAGTACATACTTTTATTTTAACATCAGTTGTTATTTACAGAAAAAGAAAGGAAATACATATCCTCCAACATTTAACTTTCATGCGAAATATATATTATCAGTGGTAGTCATTAAGCCGAGATATTGAAAACAAATTGAATTTTCTTAATAAAATATTAATCAAAATTTTAATCACTGACCATTGCTTAATCTGACATTTAATATGTATCTATTATTTGTAGGAAGTGGTCAACGAGTCTCTTTATTATTGAATCAAATTTTAATGCATTGCTTTTGCTACCATAGCAGAACTCCTTCTCGAAACTACAGAGAAATATAAACCCGTGTTATTTGTCAATGATTGCTATCCGCTAATAATTATAGTTAATTCTCAAGTTTTAATCTTCATTGTTTATCTAGTGTGGCAGTTTAGTAATTGATAAATTTTTGCTTATTTGGTGAAATTCTTCTTAAATTTTTATGTGAATCATCATTTAGGTGATATTTCCGTATCGTGATATGTCGCACCAACTGCAATTGCAGGGAGATTTTCGTTCCATGATCTGTGGCAGAATTATCACCAAGTCTTGGAAAAAAAGAAAGGGACCAACTCGAAAGGTATAACTCGTAGTCACCCCTGGGAAAACATCTACATGTTGTCGTATTTTGAATTTGCAAGTTTAACGATAAGGAAAGTACAGGAATATCCCCATTTCCAAGCATGGGTGCCACTCTTCAGTCCTGGAGACTGAAATCAATCTTGAGACTAAACTTCATCAGTTAATCTCATTTCCAAATTAATTATTGCAGAGTGATCTATGAGTGAAGTTGCACCATGTTTGGGATCGACTGAATTTCAGTACAATAAACAAACAAACCTTGTACTATTGTTGTATCGAAATTTGTTTGTTTTCATTTTCCTGTCATGTTTTAAAATGCTGAACAAAGTAAAGATAATTTAGATATGTTAGGGGATCCAGTGATAGGTGCAAAAAGACAATTATTATTTTCCAATTATCAATTATTTTCTAGTTAACAATTATTTTTTTCTTGTTTGCTGAAGAAAAAAAATTTTAAAAAATGAAGGAAAAAAAATTAACTTATTATGGAATCTATTATTATAGAAAGATACATTTTGGTGTCAGTGAACTATAAATTTTTGGTAAATAATGCTAGATTGTGTTAATTGGTATAAAAGCCAGCTGAGTCTTGAAATTTTTTTAGAGTAGTGCTGCTACTGAGCAGTGGCCACAAGAAACTAATGCAAACCTAACAGAACGAAATAACTTGCAGCCAGGGAAAATTTCCAATATTATGGTCTGTGGTAGATTAATCGCTAAGCCTTGGTATCTTCCAGCATTGGCCGATGAGAAACAAAAAAATAAATAAATAAATAATCACAGAAAGGGACCAACTCGAAAGATGTAATTCTTAACACGGATATTTCTGTATTGTGCCAAGGTGCAAAATAGATTTTAAACGCAAATTTAAAAAAAGGAAGAAAAAAAACATTTAAAAGTTTAAAATCTATATTTGGCACCTTGATGATTGTAGTTGGCTCGCCAGATCACAATATGGAAATATCCACTGGAGCCACCTCCAGGTAATCCCCTACATGGTTTTTTTTAAAACTTTTTTTATTTAATTTTTTTTGCGATTTAAAATCAACTTGACGATTGTTTATTGTAGCTAGTGTGGCAGATCACAGTACAGAAATTGTATCATGATCAGTGTCAACTACTATCGCCAAGGCGTCAAATAGAATTTAAACTTGCTACATTTTTTAAATATATATAACTTGTTGAGGTTTGCTTGGTCACTTATACCCTTCGAATTAGTTCACTTTTGTGATATTTTTTTTAGTTTCTCTTGCCGCTCTTGGAAGTTGCAGACTCGGTTATTATTCTGCCAATAATTGCTTTCTTATTTTGATATTTTGCGAGGAATAAAATATTCTGAAGAATTTTATAGTATGACATCATGAATCCTAGATGAGCAGACAAACTTTTTATATGAAGTAATAAAGTGCTTAATTAATAAAAAGATATTTTTTAGTAAAGATTTGGTTTACTTAGGAATTCAAAATAATTTGTTTTCCTACGTTTGCTAACTTGTGATCAATATATTCTTGTGATTAATGATATAGTTATTTAAAGTTTAGAAATTCTGAAATAGAATTTAAAATAGAAAAAAATAGAATTTACAATAGTTTTTTAACTGCAACTTATTGAATCTTTTCTACAGGTACAACAATGCATATATTTTTGAGAGGACAAGAAACACACTCTTATGAGGTGGGAGATGAAAAAATTTCTCATTTAAAAGTAAGTTTATTTTTTAGTACTATTTTTTTTTATTAAATATTTTTTAGGTGTAACATTGAGGTATCTGGTATATGTTTTCAAAACCTCTAAACTTTTATGAAAATGTACTTGTATATTGATAATAGACATTCATTGATTCTGAAATGCATTATAAATATATACATACATACATACAGTCTAACATCGATTTCAAATTTTTTTTTTCTAATCCCTCGATAACTTGAATTCTTTTTCTCATAAATAGTGTAGATTTTTTTTCTAAAATTAAAAAAAATATTCCAAAAAAAATAAATTTAAGAATGGCTGACAAGGCATGAAATTATGTGTATTCATTAAAGATCACGAAAGTAGTCAAACAATCAATATCGTTAATTCTGCTGAAAACTACACCGAAAATGATTGGGACAGATTGACTGGACTCATGAAACGCGATGACCTGGAATTTCAAGACTTTGTAAACGTAGATGATGCGGTAACAGTGTGTGGTCAGTTGGATGGCAATGATATCATCGCTCAAATTAAAGCTTCTTGTCAGAAGATGAGGAAATCGAAGATTTACTGCCGAATGTTACTAAAAAACATGCACTTTCTGCAGTGGACACTGTAAGGAGATTTATTGAGATGCAGCCAAGTATGTCAGAGGAGACATTTAAAGTTATAGTCCACTTAAGAAGTGTTATAGACAAACTTTCTTACGCATCTTTAAAGCAAACAACAATTGAATCTTTTTTTAAATGAAAGTGTAAAAAGTGCTTTTCGAATAAATATGGAATAGTAAATAAGGTATGTAAAGAGCATTTTTCTTTATTCTGCCATCGATAACATGCGATATTCGATAATTCGAATTTTCGGTATCTCAAATTTTTTCTCCTCTCCCTTCAAGTTCGAGATATCGAGGTTTGACTGTATATTAATAATTACAACAATGTATCCTTTTTTAAAGAAACTATTTTTAATATATTATATGCATATGCAATTAATTTTACATTTTTTTCTCATTTTTTTAGCATATAAAGGATTATATTAAAAACAATACTTAAAATTATGTTAAGAAAAGTTAGGTTATTCAAGAGTATTTTAAAAGTATAATACAATGAAAATTTACAAAACATATAAAGCTGCAAATTTAAAGACTAAAGAATATCATCTGTGATGGATCCCACTATTCGGCTGGTTTTTTTTCTTCTTCTGATTATTCAGTTATTTAGCCAAATCAGTATTCGTTACATCTGTTCTGTAGTCAGTTACTTCAAATTATCTAATACAGATTTTTAACTTCAAAATATTAAATCTTTGATATCAGTTCAATTAGTCAGCTTTGAAGTAAGACCTATCTTCAAGTTTATACTTTAACAAAATTAATTGAGGTAAAATTGCGACTGAATAGAAAAACCTACCTGTTGTTACCCTATTAATTGCTTAATATTTTATGTTAGATGATGCTGACACATACTTGATTTTAAACCTTAAAATTGGATTCTTACATTTCATTAATTATTTAATATTAATCTTTAAACATAGGAAGCAAAATTTGGCACACAAATTAAAAATATATAATAGCTAAAAAAAAGAAGGGATAACAGAAAAATAGTGCTATTTTGCTCTGTACTGAACTAGCTCAACCTTTTTCAAAAATATCAGATTGTGACCAATATCAAATCCAACCATCTTATTTATTTTAATATTTGTGCGTACACTTGTTTAAAAACAATTAAATTTATTAGTCATCCTAGTTATTTTTCAATCGAATTACATACATTATTTTTGTTTTGCAAAAATGGGTCTTCTTTCTTGTTTTTTATATTTTAATAAAGATTTGCTTTTATTAAATTTATTAAACTATTTTCTTTTTCTTTATGTTTGTAGAATCTTATTGAAGAGGTTGAAGGAATAGACAAAGAAGAAATTGTTCTTTACTTCGGTGGTTCACCTCTTGAAGATGACCAAAGTGTATCAGAATGTTTAACTGAAGGTGCAACAGTTGATTTCAGTGTAAAACTTAGAGGAGGTATTTTGATAATATAACTACTTCTTTTATATACCATGGTATGATCTATAGTCCTTAACTCAGTGTGTATTTTAAATTGCAAGGTCATTTAAAAAGATAGAGCCATTTTAGTTAATTTGTATTTATTAGAGTAGTATAAATTACAGATAAAGAATTTACCCACTAATGAATATAGAAATGTTATAAGTTATTTTTAAACAGATTATAATTGTTAAAATGTGTCCTTCCTTTGCTGTACGATCTGCGATAAAGCATGTCTTATGTTACTTAAAGCACTAGTTTAGAATAACGCTATATGATAATGTTCAATATTGTTGAAAACAGTGATTCAAGTTATTAATAAAACAATTGTATTGATAATTTTTAGTTTCTTCTATTTTATCCCATTTATTTTCTTTGTTTCTGGAAAAAAAGATTTTTTCCAGATACAAAACCGAGATACTACAATGAGAAAATTTATTTAGTAGGCATTAAAAATATTAAACTATAAATCAAATTAATAAGTAATGATTGACTGTTATCCAAAGAAATAGTCTACTAATCTTTTATTTCGTTTTAAAATCATTCTTAAGTCTTCCCGACATCTGTTTTTCGAGCAAGCCCCTCTTTCATTGCTTTGAAAATCCTCACCCACAAAACTTCTTAGAATGGTTGTTTGTAAATTTGATGAGATAAAATAAATGTAGAGCATCCAGAAGACATCAATTTTCTTCTGTTACTCAGTATAGGTTAAGTATTTGAAACTATCTAGTGCAGGGGTGGCGAACCTTTATACAACAACGTGCCATTTTTTCTAAAAAATTGTTTAAGGAAGTCACAAACGTGCCGTCAAATAATTTTGACTTNTTATCCCTCCTGAAATCTCCTGAATTCTTGTTAAGGAAACTCCTGAATGTTAATTTTCCTAGGTTGGCACGTCTGTATATAATAAAGGGCAGGGTGATTCTGTCTAAATCTTTTTTTTTTTTAGCCCAAAAGGAGAGGAAAGATTTTGCTAAAGTCAAAGTTGCTCAGTAATTTATCTATTTTTCTAATTAATGAGGTAAAGCATGGTGAATAATCCAAATTTAGCTGTCGGAAAGCTTTTAATTTTATATGCACATAAAATATAAATTAGTTAATCTTAGCATATTTTGGTTGCACAGTGAAAATTTTTTTATATGTTACAATCTTTTGTGAACATATTTACATAAAAGAAAAAGGATTAAATATAATTATTAGTATAGTTAGTTTTTGTTAAAATTGAATTATGTGGCTGGTTCAATTCACTGAAAGAATTTTGTTTTTATTCATTTTCTGTTTTATTGAGAATGCATTAGACATTGATTTAATCTGGATTTGGAGTTTTAACTAGCATTGAGTTAATTCTACAAATTTCAACTAGAGTTAAGTGCTGCATGTAATTTTTTGTATTGACACATTTTGTGACATTGTGAGTTTAACTTTCATACCTCAAATTTATATTCTATGCAAGCATAGATTAAATAAGTTAATTGACTATGCTTGTGATGTTGTGAAACCTGGATCACGCTGAAACTCACACTGTGAATGGCAAGAAAAAATGTGGGTTGCAATTTTTAATTTGTTTGTAAGGACTAATTGTCTTCTATTTTCTTAGAAAATGTTTTGAATTTTTTTTATTTAAAGTGCACTAACTTCTAAATTTGTTTTTTAACTGGTGAAATAAAATCACATTCAAGATTGAAGATAAGATAAACTTTTACCCTAAGTAAATCTTGTTCTTTAAAGTTAACTTCTCAATGTTAATTGACTTTTCAGAGCAGGGCTGTCTGTTTTGCCTGACTAGTATTGATTTAAAGTTTATTATTTGACTGTTTTTGCAAAAAATTTCGTATTTTATTTCATAATAGTAATATATTGATGTGCCTTTTGAATTCATTCTTTTTCATGATTACTTCCTTTTTCTCTTGTTTGAATAGGCAAAGTTCACGGATCATTGGCTCGTGCTGGAAAAGTAAAAGGCCAGACACCAAAGGTAAATTTTGTTAAATTATAATCATTTTATGTTGATATCATAATTGCTGTTATCCTTATCTTTATCATCTGCTAATAATGATCATTTTAATGCAATTTAGTATTGCTTTGTTTTCTTTTTTTTTTCCTTCTCAAGAACTATTTGCAATTAATTTTTCTTCTATTTCATCATTAAACAGGTTGAAAAGCAAGAAAAAAAGAAAAAGAAGACAGGACGTGCCAAGCGAAGAATGCAGTTCAATAGAAGATTTGTAAATGTAGTTGTAACATTTGGCCGAAAGAAGGGTCCTAATTCTAATTCATAATTTATCTTGATGATTTGGATGACACTTGTAAATGTTTAAATAAATTTTTTGTCATCTATTTCATGTCTTTTTTTTTTCTTTCTATTACATAGTACGTTTTTAATTTAAGTCTCCAGAATAAAGACCTAATATCACTTGTTCTGAAAGTTTGTAACATACTTTTGGGTGATGGAAATAAACTCACCAATTGTATTTTTTCTATAACTGTCTTTGTTACTTATCACATTTGAATTTTTTTTTTTTTTTTAAAGAAATTTTTTTTTTTTTTTTCAATGAAGATTAAACATTGCGTGTATTTTCTTTCGAGTATTTTCTTGCATGCATGCTTTTAGCCTGTTTTCTAAATTTTAATATACTTGTATTCAGGGATGGCAAGTTTCTTCCACAATGAGAAAAACTGATTAAAGACAATAGGTTACTCATTTCTTACAACCCAAGCAAAGAAATGTGAATATTTTTTAAATGTTTATAATAAAATTTTAAAGAAATAAAATAGTTTTTTTTTCACCTATTTAATCATCCTTAAACAAAGAAAATGGAAAAGTGTAAAGAAAAATCAGTTCAATAAATTTTTTAAGAAATTAAAGTTGGAAACTTAAGAAATATGATAGAAGTATTTCTCAATAGATATTTATAATACAGGTTATTTGGACATGCACTTTTTCATAGAATTTATGAAATAAATCTAGAAATTTTTAATATGTAAATCACTGGATTTTCATTATCAAATCGATGATTAGTTGCTTACAATTTTTTAAAAAATTAGGGAAACGAAACAAAATCTCCACTCAGAGTCATATTTTATTAAAATATAAAATCTTTTTATAATATTCTTTAAAAATTATGATGTACTTTCAAAAAATGAAAGAAAAGACATTTCTGGAGTGAAGTATCTTTTAAACTTCTGTGATTTCAGAATTATTTATTTATTTTTATTTTATCAATTTGAAATTCTAGCTGAAGCAAGTCTGTCACTGACCAATTTTTTAATTCCGAAATGAGAACAGAAAAATCGGGAGTATTTCTTTCCTTTTCGATGAAAAAGAAAAGTATCTTTAGAATATAATTCTGCAGAAAAAGAAATTATTTTTTCAGCTATTTTATTGCTTAGACTCTTTCTTTACTCTGTTTTTTAAATTTAAAATCAATAAATATGAAAATGCAGAGTATAACTGTTTTGGTTATACCTATCATTTTAATTAATATTATTATAATGCTTTTTAAATTTATTATTCTGTTTTTGTCGGAGAAAATAGTAACTTCATTAAGTCATGAANATTTAATTATTCTTAAACAAAGAAAATGGAAAAGTGTAAAGAAAAATCAGTTCAATGAATTTTTTAAGAAATTAAAACAAAAGTTGGAAACTTAAGAAATATGCTAGAAGTATTTCTCAATAGATATTTATAATACAGGTTATTTGGGCATGCAATTATTCTTAGAATTTATGAAATCTAGAAATTTTTAATATGTAAATCACTGGATTTTCATTTTCAAATTGATGATTAGTTGCGTACAATTTTTAAGAAAAATTAGGGAAACAACAAAATCCCCACTCAGAGTCATATTTTATTAAAATATAGAATCTTTTTATAATGTTCTTTAAAAATTGTGATGTACTTTCAAAAAATGAAAGAAAAAACATTTCTAGAGTGAAATATCTTTTAAACTTCTGTCATTTCAGAATTATTATTTATTTATTTTTATTTTATAAATTTGAAATTGTAGCTGAAGCAAGTCTGTCACTGACCAATTTTTTGATACCGAAATGAGAACAGAAAAATCGGGAGTATTTCTTTCCTTTTTGATGAACAAGAAAAGTATCTTTAGAATATAATTCTGCAGAAGAAGAAATTATTTTTTCTGCTATTTTATTGCTTCGACTTTCTTTACTCTGTTTTTTAAATTTAAAATCAATAAATATGAAAATGCAGAGTATAACTGTTTTGGTTATACCTATCATTTTAATTAATATTATTATAATGCTTTTTAAATTTATTATTCTGTTTTTGTCGGAGAAAATAGTAACTTCATTAAGTCATAAATTTGAAAATCTAGAATGTTGCAGATACCCTATGTAGGGTACTTGAAAAAAAAGCTTTTTTATAGTTATGCATTAATCTTATTTATTTAGAATTAACTAATATTATAACAAAGATATTAAAAAAACAAGTTATTGTTAAATAATTTTGTTTTTATTCAAGAGATTGTTAAAAACAAAATTTATTTAAAAATACATTGGTATTTAAAAAAAAAAAAATTACCACTTAAACTTAACCAGATAATTCTGTTTTTAAACAGATAATCTAATAAACTAAAATTAATATAAGTACATATAAAATTTATCTTCATATAAGTGTACATATTTATTAAGGGAAGAAAATGATGTTCAAAATAAGTTGTACATAGATTTTAAAACTGAACAAAACTTATAAATAACATGAAAATAGTTATTTCTTTTTTAAAAAATAAAATGCTGAAAAACTATAAACTTAGTTGTATTTATACAATTTTATTTGATTTAAATTTCATTAAGTCTTTTTTAATAGTTATTGCTCCAGTCAATTTTGTTTTTCCACTGAAAGAAATAGGTTTTTTTTCGGAATAAATTCCAACCAAGAATAATGAAATAATTTTTTTTTTCGTAATCATAATAATTACATAAATATAAATAATCATCAGAGTATCATAAAGATTGATATGCCCTGTCAATTATTTAAATTTAGCACAAAATAAAATGTACTTGGTCAGTAAAAAAATATTACATGATGCGTTGCGTTTTTTAAAGGTGCTTATTTTAGTTTTTAAAAGCTCTTAAGGGGCTTTTTTAATTGGTTTCAAGAAGTGCTTAATTTTTCCTTTTCGAATATGCAATGCATTCATTTAAAAATAAAAATCTCTCAATTTTTTAAAGGTATTAAAATATAATAAAAATAAATTGAAATATTTTCGATTCTTTACTTGGTAAATCCTAATAAATTAATACACAGAAAAGAAACACTATTTATTGGACTTATATTCCTGTTTCTAGAGATGCTAAGTCCTGCAGTCAAGCATCACTGGCTATGGTCATTGTGCGGGTGGGTGACCGCTTGGATCAGCCTGCGTAGGGACCGAGGGCGTGCGGTATTGGTCCTCGTTAAATTGTTCTACCGTAAAGTGCTCGACTTCGCGTGCAGGTCGTCGGGCTACCGAAGCGGGGGTGCCATCCCCTCTGCAGAGGATCAAAATTGTGATGGCATGTCTTCGGATCATCCTCAGGGATGTTTCCCAGACCGTCGCCAATAGCCCATTGTGCAGCTCTAGTGCGACGTAAATGAACAACAACAACAATTAGAGATGCTAAAAATTTTATCACGGTTTTGTGCAATTTTGATACGATCCCTTGTTTTTAAGAGTCACTTTGTAACTGCGTGTTATTCACGTATAAGCATTATTTGAGTTGCATCTAGGCAAACTGCGTGCAGATGTAAGCAGTCGGAAGCTTATATACATTAAGTTATCAATTTTCTTGTTTTGAAATTATCTGTTTTGTCCTCTGGTTGTTCTCTTTGGTTTCAATATTTAAAAAATGATGTTTTCTAGTTTATTGAAAGTCGGAAGGTATCCTTTTGAAGTAAGTAATTTTCTTCTTTCCCAATAAGTAAGATTTAAATCGTTTCTATTATTACTTTAAATGAATATATATATTGAACGAACGTACAATTAAAGTAGAATCTAAAAAATTTTACACTAAGATCATTTGACTTAAAGTGTAAACAATTTAATATGGTTAATTTAAATACATGTGTAAAGTTTTCTGCCTTTCAGTTAAAGAGATATTAGTTTATGAATATCCTTTTTAAAAATACTTTTTTGAACTTTTAAAAATAAATCATTAATTTTTTAGTGTACATAATTTTTTGATGTTTATGGGGGTGTCGATATTTTTTCGGTATTTAGAGAATATGAGTTGATAAAAGGCTGAGAACAGTTGCTTTAGTTTTAATTTACATTTGAATCAAAACCAATAATGAAAATAAAAAGTTTGATGTTTTTAACAAAAACTTTAATTTCATACAATGTTGAATTCGTGCAATGTGCACGAAGTTCTTTAAGTTTCTGGTGTATAAAGCTTTTTTTTAAAGAAAATTCAAGTTATATGAAAAATCTAATTTACTAACAGTTGAACTTGTCAAATTTCAAAATTTATAGTAATTTTGATTTTGTATTGAAAATCATTATCAATTATTTATAAATTTTTCTTCCCTTTTAAATTGATTTGTATGTGTGTCAGAGAAGTTTAGGGACTTTGCATCTGTATATCAAGGGGGTGATTTTCGTATTGTGACCTGTGGCAGAATAATTGCAAAGTCTTGGCAACTTCTGAGCAGTGGCCCATGAGAAACTAAAAATGATAATATCACACAAAGAGACCAACTCGAAAGGTATAGCTTGTAGCCACCCTTGGGACACATCAACATGTTTTTTTTTAAAAATATATATATATTTTTAAAATTTCGCTCGTCATCGTCTTCTCAGATATACGGGCATCTTGCCGTCCAATACAATTGTGAAGTATCTCCAGAAAGTGAAAGGGCACAAAAGTCGTTTTTAAAAAAATTAAATATGTGCTTATATAGTATAATATAGTCCCAATAGTAATATAGTATGCAAGATAACTACATGTAACTGTACAAGTTATTAATCGTATCTTTAAATACATTACTTGCTATGAGTAATATAATTTTATAACTATAGCAATAAAGAAATCAAAGAAAATAAAAATATGACCACTGAAGACGTCGGTTTTGGTGGTGATATTTTTATTTTTTTTTCCTTCGTTTTGTTTATTGCTATATTTATTCTTTCTTTTGAAAATTCTGCTGCTTTAAAGTGTGTTTCTTTCAAAGATTGTTTTGTCAATTTAATATTTTGTATTCTTTTACTGTTATAATTGTATAACCTTTTTTTAAAGAACGGCCTTATCAAAAATACAGTTTGTTTTTATATTGCCAATAGTGCTTATCGTTGCATATTTTTTTGTCATTTGGATATAATTTGCTTGGTAAATTTTTA